GTAACCCAGTATCATTTTCGTGTTTTGTTTTCTGTACTTTAAAGGAAGTCGACCACCAGAATTGTACGTTAAATTTTACAGCTCAAATTTCACAACAGTGTTGATTCTGGTCCTAACAGATGTTTTACCCAAGTTTAAATCACTCATCCCGGTGTCGCAATTTAGTGTTATTATTTTGCCATAAGTCTGGATAAGCTGCTTTTGACATATTTAATTTCAAATTGATAGCAAGGTGTAAAAGTGACACAAAGGAAATAAATTAAGATACTCAGTCACTGTGAAGTTGAATTTTTAATTTTAATAATAATAATAATGACAATATTTTAGCAGGGAGCCCACGTCACCAAAAGGTGCTCTTCAGTGGGGCCCTTAACTTCAATTAATAAAATAAAAACTACACATGATAAAAATTAAAAATTAGATTAGCAACAGAAACAGTACAAGAACAATTAAGAACTATTTAAAAACTGATTAAAAACTTTTAAAATGCATGTTTGAGCTTAGATTTAAATAAGAACATATAGAGGTGTCATGGATATCCTGACTTTAAACAGTTCCAGTCTATGACACTCTGATACATAAAACGTTGTTTGTCCCAGGTTGTTCTTACGTCAGGTAGGTGAAAATTGTCTCTGGAATGTGTGTTGTAATTGTGAATTGAGTTATTTCTAACAAAATTTAAATCAATAAAACCATTAAACGGTTGAAGATTGTTGTACAATGATGGAAACGTTGCCCAAGATGCAGTGGCTTTGAACAAAGAGAATCAAGAGCTTCGGACGCAGAGGATTGCAGATGGCAAAATTATCAAGAATTACATCTTGGCAGCTTTGTTTTGAAGAATCTGCAGAGTATCGTAGCCCTTTAAAAGTGATAACCCTAAGGATGTTATTGTCAGTGAGTGAGGGTGGGTCATGGCTTCAAGAAGTGTGTTGGTTATTGTTAACATCTCTGATGTCAGGTGTGGTATTTATTCAAATACCTAAGGTTATAGTTGAATGTAAATGTGTAAATGTAAATATCATATTATCCACTCCCCTTAGGGCTTTTATGGGATAATTTACAACACTGTTTGGGGGACTTTGCCAGACTGCTTAAGGTGCAGTTTACAAGTAATGAAGGAATGAGTAATGATGCCCCCATACATGAGTGTGAAAGTGACATAGACCACTACACCGGGCACTACATGCCCTACTCTTTATGAAGAGTGTGTGGGTTCTTTAATGTCCCACAGATTTTTATTACATGTGTGAGGGCTTGTGAGACAGGGCCTATGGTTTATCGTCCTTATCTGAGAAGACTAGAAAGTCAAACCATTTGCAGATGTTATTACATAGGCAGCACTTTCTCCTCAGTTATTTAAAGACCCTGAATGTTGGTCCGGGCAGGATTTGAACCTTCGGCCTACCGCTCAGCAGACTGGCCCTTATCCCATTGAGCTACGGTAACGGAACTGAGTGTAATCAGTGTTTTAAGGTAGTTTTTTAAACTTGTTTGATGTGCTGTTTCACATCTCTTGATCTTTCTTCTTCTCTGCATCTCAGCAGTGCACAAAGAAGTAATATCCAATAACCCAGGGCTAGTGGATTTTGCCATTGGGCTAGTGAATTCTGTTCTTAATTTGCCCAAGTGACTGGAGAATTTAAATAACACAAGTACTTTCAGACAAACAGTAATTAAAATTCCTCATAAATTCATGTGGACTGAAAGCCGTTTTTCAAGCTCATCTGACAAAGTGAAATGTGTAAAAATAAATATCAAAACAAGACAGTATAACACTACATTTCAAGAAGTGTGATCTCCACAATCTTCAGGTAAACACACGAAATTCAAAATACATTTTAAGTAAGGCTTCTAGGTTCCTGATGCTTTTGTTAAATTATCATTGGTAACTGCAACCAATTACTTAAGCAAGTAATTCATGTATGGTGCACTTAATAATTAAATAATAATAAATAATTATATATCCTGCTTGTCAAAAATGCTTTTTCGAGCTAGTCAAAATGACTTTTGGGTTATTAGTACAAGCAATCTGTAACACAGATTTTCTTTTGGCATTCTGACCTGTGGCCTGCTATGCAGGCTAAAATGCATCAATTATTGTTGGGTACGTTTGATCCTTTAACTAGAGTATATTAATGAGGTTTGTTGTTGCCAAAATCACGGCAATATTGCACCTCTGCATTTTAGTATGCACCCATAGGGAACCTTCCAAGGCGATGACAACAACAACAACAACCATTATAAAATAATGATTAATGGCTAACACTTATTTTATACAACAGTTGATCTATTCATATCAGTGAGATATTCTTCGTTAATAAGTGTTTATGATTAAAACAAAGTGGACAATTCTCAGGAAAAAATAATTTATTTTTAAATAGGAAACGTTCTCAACCATGTTGCAAGATAAGTCTATGTAGTGTAGTGGTTACGAAGAGAACAACACAAAAAGTGCCCAGTTGATTACTAAAAGAACTAATATTATTGTTTCTATAATGATGTATACAAAACTTAGCACAATATTTAATACCACGATACTAGTTTGTAACAAAATATTATGAGATAGAGGTTGACTGTCTGACTGTTGATTTTGACTCATCATAAGCAGTAATATGCTGTTTTAAAAGGCTTTGAGACTTAAGAACACAGTGAATACCACAATAATGCCAAAAACTGGGCCACGTTATGTACAATTTCTTGCTTGCTCACTAAGAATATTGAGTCCTATATTGATTGTTGATTGTTTAATACTGCACAAGATTAAAGCCATACAACTTAATGGTGCACGTGATTGCTATTGTTTCTTTACAACTCAGGGCTGTCATTACTAGCCACGAGCCGCCGCAGCAAAATCAGCCGACAGCTTATTAGTTTGAAAATGAATCAAATATAACAAATATAGGAGGATTTGTGGAGTAAATGACCCGCTACGTTCCTTAACAGACCAGCTACTTTAAACCTCAATGACGACCATAGCAACTGTAAATGTATACCCCATAGCAAAGGCCACATACACACAAACCTGTTAAGCAGTAATATGCTGTTTTAAAAGGCTTTGAGACTTAAGAACACAGTGAATACCACAATAATGCCAAAAACTGGGCCACGTTATGTACAATTTCTTGCTTGCTCACTAAGAATATTGAGTCCTATATTGATTGTTGATTGTTTAATACTGCACAAGATTAAAGCCATACAACTTAATGGTGCACGTGATTGCTATTGTTTCTTTACAACTCAGGGCTGTCATTACTAGCCACGAGCCGCCGCAGCAAAATCAGCCGACAGCTTATTAGTTTGAAAATGAATCAAATATAACAAATATAGGAGGATTTGTGGAGTAAATGACCCGCTACGTTCCTTAACAGACCAGCTACTTTAAACCTCAATGACGACCATAGCAACTGTAAATGTATACCCCATAGCAAAGGCCACATACACACAAACCTGTTAAGCAGTAATATGCTGTTTTAAAAGGCTTTCAGACTTAAGAACACAGTGAATACCACAATAATGCCAAAAACTGGACAACCTTATGTACAATTTCTTGCTTGCTCACTAAGAATATTGAGTCCTATATTGATTGTTGATTGTTTAATACTGCACAAGATTAAAGCCATACAACTTAATGGTGCACGTGATCGGTATTGTTTCTTTACAACTCAGGGCTGTCATTACTAGCCACGAGCCACCGCAGCAAAATCAGCCGACAGCTTATTAGTTTGAAAATGAATCAAATATAACAAATATAAGAGGATTTGTGGAGTAAATGACCTGCTACGTTCCTTAACAGACCAGCTACTTTAAACCTCAATGACGACCATAGCAACTGTAAATGTATACCCCATAGCAAAGGCCACGTACACACAAACCTGTTAAGCAGTAATATGCTGTTTTAAAAGGCTTTGAGACTTAAGAACACAGTGAATACCACAATAATGCCAAAAACTGGGCAACCTTATGTACAATTTCTTGCTTGCTCACTAAGAATATTGAGTCCTATATTGATTGTTGATTGTTTAATACTGCACAAGATTAAAGCCATACAACTTAATGGCGCACGTGATTGGTATTGTTTCTTTACAACTCAGGGCTGTCATTACTAGCCACGAGCCACTGCAGCAAAATCAACCGACAGCTTATTAGTTTGAAAATGAATCAAATATAACAAATATAGGAGGATTTGTGGAGTAAATGACCCCTACGTTCCTTAACAGACCAGCTACTTTAAACCTCAAAGACGCCCATTGCAACTGTAAATGTATACCCCATAGCAAAGGCCACGTACACACAAACCTGTTAAGCAGTAATATGCTGTTTTAAAAGGCTTTCAGACTTAAGAACACAGTGAATACCACAATAATGCCAAAAACTGGGCAACCTTATGTACAATTTCTTGCTTGCTCACTACGAATATGGAGTCCTACATTGTTTGTTGATTGTTTAATACTGCAGAAGATTAAAGCCAGGCAACTTAATAGTGCACGTGATTGCTCTTGTTTTCTTACAACTCAGGGCTGTCATTACTAGCCATGAACCACTGCAGTAAAATCAGCCGACAGCTCATTAGTTTGAAAATGAATCAAATATAACAAATATTGGAGGATTTGTGGAGTATGTGACCTACTACTTAACCTAAGAAACCAGCTACTTTAAGCCTCAATGACGCCCATAGCAACTGTAAATGTAGACCCCATAGCAAAGGCCACGTACACACAATACTGTTGAGTTCATTTTTTAAACTTTTGTGTCCGTTGATTGCTTCAACAAGTGAAGAAGCAAAATCTTTACAAGACTCATATAGATTTTGCTTTTATGAAAGCCTCCTGTTTCCTGAACTATCATGGTTAAGTCCAAGCCCTATCACTTGCTCCCTACTTCAAGAAAACATGTTCTTTGCATTCACTTGATCCAGTCATTTCTTTTCACTTCAATGTATATTTACAAACTGAGAGCCACATTCCATAAACATGTTACCATGAGAGCTGCCATCATTGTTAATCACTGTCTTCATCACTTTCAACAATTTGTCGACTCTTTTTCTTTTTTCTCTGTGAACCCTTATCTTCACTATTTGTTCTTTTTCTGCTTTCAAGTTTGTCATCTTCTGATTCCATGCCTTCCTTTGCATTCAATAGTCTCTCTTTGTCTTCTCCCTCTTCATCACTCTCCAATCCTTCAGCACCTTCACTTTCAACTTCATCTGACTCACTACCAAATCCTGAAAACAAAATCAACAACAACTTTGTTTCAGCACGTTATTCTGTCAAGATCTTGTCTCAATCTGTCCCTGGTCAATACAAATCCATCAGTATTTTGGTCATTTCAGTCCTAGATTTTCCTGTAGCACAGAGATTGTCCTGTATAATACAGTCGAAGCTCTCCTTGTGACCACTCTCATAAGTGGCCAGCTCTACAGCTGTAGTTACAACCACCTTTGTGAAAACCCAAACTGTGATTTCAACTTTGTAATGAAACCTCTCATAACAGAAGGCTCCTGTAAGCGACCGCGACCACTTTTGGGATTACCCAACTACACTTTTCTTTAATTGTTTTTAAGCTCTCTTAAGCACCCATCCAGAGTCTTATTCATATAAATCAACACTTCCATGAAACTGCACACTGCGCTGACGGTTCATTGATAAAGATCTTACATACAGTGCAGTAAAAGTTCCAGGTCATTTCTGGTTCCCTAGAGACCACAAGTTAGACGTGTCTTACATAGACACTCATTAAACAATTTATTTCTTTTGTCTTTTCTTTATGAATTGTTAATGCGTTTTTTAAGCGTCCATAAGTGACCATTCTCTGTTGTTTTACCCTGCTATCCCTTACAAGAGCTCATTCTTGTAAGCGACCAGCTCTTGTTTTGACCACTTTTTCGAATTTCAGAGGCGGTCACTTACAAACACTTCAACTTTATTGTAAATGTTACTGGTCAAAATTATAATGTGGCTAAATGTAATTTAGGCAAAGTTAACCTCGAAGCAATGCTGGTCAGCTGTTTCCCCAGCTATAATAGGGGTGGCCCGATGCCTCTAGCAGGGGCACCTCGTGACTTATATATGCAGTTGCTTGCTTGCAGTTCTTTGCAAAGTGTTGTTGCAATAGCTTGCTGTTTGCATGCCAGTTTGTGCTTTGGTTTTTCCCATCCCTCCCTCCCTCTTGGTGTGGGCTAGGTAAGTATTGGGTCGGTAAGTATTCCACTGAATTGTTCAGTGTGACGGTGCCTGGTGGGGGCCGCTCACAGGGTTGCCATGGATACCTCCTCCTCATGCTAGAGCATTGCCCGGCTCTATTGGTGATGAGTTTAATTCAGGTTAAAATTTTTTAAGCTAGGAAAATTCTCAGTTTCCTTGGTCTCCTAGCCACAATTCATGGAGTAGCAGACAAAGGAAATTTAGAGTCAACCTGGGTTAAAAAAAAAATAACCTGATTTTAATTTTGACCTGTAACATAACCAAAAAAAAAGACATTTTGGCTCAATCTGATATCAACAAACCTTTGGCCAACTTTTTCTTGTATTTATTCTTTATTGCCAGCAGACTCTGCTCTAAATCTTCTCCTTCATCTTCATATCGATCAGGCTCCAGGAAGCTAGCGCTAAGACCCTTTGCTTGGCTTCTTTCCCTCATTCTACGCTGCTGATTTTCACGCCGCAATTGGGTTCTCAGCCTTTCATCCTCTTTCTGTTAAATAGAAGTAAAAGACAAACTTGGTGGATAGAGTGCACATGCATACCAAGTTGGGAATTCATGTTTGGGAAATTAACCGAATTTATGGGTTTTATGCTAAACATAGTTACAGTATTCAGTGCCAGAAAATAACAAGACATACTCGATAAAAGAAAGTGGATTAGTAGGATTACTGGGAGTACTTCATGTAAACATAGTGTTAATAAAATAAATAGTGAACTCTAAATTTCTAACCCACACACAAACTAATTTTGGTAACTGCACTTGATAGTAATAATAATAATAATATAATAATAATAATAATAATAATAATAATAGTAGAAATATATAGAAATTTATACATGGCGCTAAACCTATAATTAATACATGTTCTAAAGTGCTAATAAAAGCTGAGAAACACTAACAGATAACAAACAGTACACTTAAACAAAATGAGAATAAACACCACAATAACTGTACATGAATTGCTTCAGTGGGCAAATGCCAAATGAAATGAAAAGTTCTTTAAAGCCTGCTTAAACCCTGAACACTCCGGATACCCCTGATAGCTGAACTAAGAGAGTTCCACAGTGAGGGGCTAACACGAGTGAACTGTAGTGGAGTAACAATTAATCGAATTCTTGATTAATCGTGATTATGACCGTTCGGTTCGATTCACGATTTTTTGCTTCCACATTTCAATTTTGCTTTGATTTTTGCATAGCTTTTCCAGGGTGCCCTCAGCGAGTTACTATATTGTAAAATCAGAATCCAGAACTCTTTAAATTGTGTGTTTTTGATTACAGTCAAACCAGGTCAAGCGTTCCCGTCGCTAACAAACTAATGAATTCATTAATGGAAAAATGATTTCGTTTGTTGATTCAATAATCCATTCATAAAATGAATAATCCAACGGTCAAATTGTACCTCGATTCAATAATCAAATGTTGATTTGCTTTATGAACAAAATCTACCTGTTCTTTATTCTTGTCTGTTGTGTTCAGTCGTATTTGCTTCCCTTTTCCTGCCGTTTACGATTGCGTTTTTCATTGCCTTTAATCAAAATAACAGCTAGAATAGACAGACCGCAAACGCAAAGAAACTGACAAAGGCCGAGGATCGAAATCCACCAATCACCGCACATACACTGACCTCAGTTTGACCGTCGTGTTTTCTAAGAGGTCAGGCCTAGGTCTGTTGCACTGATTATTGGCAGCAAACTGGCGTACATGTAACAGTTTGTTTGGGTTTGAACTTCAGAACTCGCCAGCACTCGACTCTCAGAAAAAAAAGAGGAAAAAACAAAATTCTGAGGTCAACTTGTGGAAAGTGTAACGCTTGACCTGGTTTGACTGTAAGGAGCAAAGACGATAGCAGTTCATGCACCACTTTGTGTTGCCTGGTACAAATGCTGTCCTTCAACCATCCCTTTAGAATTTCCAAATAAGGCAAACCATCTTAAGGTATCAGCCACCCTTAAAATTGCCATTTTTCCATATTTGAGGTTTCAACGTTTTCAAATAGATATGCTTGAGAGCTTTCTTTTAAAACAAAAATCAGACGAAAATATTATTTCTGTCGAAAGATATCGGGGGTAAAAGATTTTTTCTCGTTAATTATCTTAATTGATCGTTGACAAGTTCTGTCATACCCGTGTCATATATCAATTAACTTGCCCGTGAACTAGTAACTGATACCGAGTGCGTGCTTCGACACAACACGTGCGAATTGTCTTCGCGTTGTTTATAGCCTTTAGTATTCTCTGTGGATATTTAGCGTTTACTTCGGTGAAAATGCGGCCAAAAAAAAGAAAAGGGTCGTGTCCGTTTTCGTCATCGAAACCGAGAGGGAAAAAGAAATCGAAGAGCGAGTTTGACAAAGAATGGGCTGCAAAATTGGCAGAGAGCGACAAAGGCTCATTTTATCAGCAAGAGAAGTGGCTCGAGGAGTTGGATATTCAGAAAAGCGAAAATGCTGCAGTTGCTGAGAGTGCAAGCCGCTCCAAAATCCAGCTTGAAGAGCCAGATGAAGAAAGCCAATTAAGCTCATCGACCCCATCTGCTGATGGAACGTGGAAAACAATAAGCAGTCGAGCTATTGTATCGAGCGAAAAGCTGCTTGAGAAACTGGACGAGTCTGTATCTTGTCGATTGCCAGGGAAGAGTCCAAGTCATGGAAAATGTAGCGACTAAGCATGGACTTGGTTCTACCTGGAGAATCCAGCGCGAGAATGAAAGCTGTCCGTCGCACAAGACAAATTCTGTTTTTAATTCTTCCGAGAAGAGGAGAGCGTTTGAAATAAACCGGGCCTCAGTTCTTGGCCTTCGAGCAATCGGTGGTGGACATTGGGCGGCTTCAAAGTTTTTTAGTTTCCTTGGCCTGGCGCCGATCAACAAAAACGCCTGGGCGGATCATACAAAAAAGATCGAAGGAGTGGCAAAACTTTTGCTCGAGAAAGAATTAAACCGTGCTTCTCGTGATGTAAAAGAGTGGACGTTTTCCTGTTACATGTTACCTGTCAAAGTCCTATTGTTAGAGAAAATTGATCCCTCTCTGATATCAATAAGAATAAACATTTAGGTGTTATAATCTCATTCCAGGTAGCATGCCGCCAAAAGTGTATTTTCTATTTTATCTCCGAACGCAGATTTTGCCGACCGACTCGTACGTTTTGAACTCCAAGTCGGCAGCCTTTCAATCAATTTGGCTAAAATTTGGCCAGAGTGATGCCATATATCTCTTCTACAAAACCGTGTCTGCGAATTTTAATACTCCTTTTCATTTTAAAGCTAGAGCTTTTTTTCCACAGGGAGTGTTGACTAATTGCCTTCCCCAACTTCATTTGCTAATAAAAGAAAAACAAACGCACTTGTCAAAAATCTGAGACACGGCTTTTTAGTGGAACTTGTTGAGAAGCGAATGCGGTGTTAAAAGTTTTCTTCCGTTTTTTTCCAGCGGGAGTGGAACATGATTTATAGAGACGTGTACGTTTACACAAAGCGTTCCAATTTCGAAACACATTTAAGTAAATCGTTTTTGTTAGTTCAAATCCATAATCTGGAATTATTAAGCTTTTAAAAAATATATGGTTTATAGGGGTTTTTATAAAAACAACTAACGCTACAGCGATCCACGCGCGGACGGTCCTGAAGGGTGGCTGGTACCTTAATCAGGTTCTCAAACATGGCGACGAACCAAGCGACTGTGAATCCTCCTATCCCTGTTACTATTCTCAAATTGAGGGTTTAGGGTTGCATGTTGTTAACATTACATGTTATGTTATAAGAGTCAAGAAACATTTACATAATTGAATTGAAATAATCGAAATCAAAATAATCGAAATCGAAAGACAGTAATCAAAATCGAATTAAATCGCAAGGAATATATATCATTACACCCCTAGAGCGAAGGCCCATTCCCCAAGGGTCTTGCACTTTGTTTTAGAATGATCATTTTCAGTCAATGCAGCTATGTAAATTTCTTAGAACAAAAGAAAGTTTTTACACGAGAAAAGAGATTCATCCCCACAAGACTTTTTTGGTACACCAAATTGGCCGAGGTTTTATTGTTTGAGGAGTCTTAACAAAATGGCTGTTATGTCGGTCACGTGAAAACGATTTATACCTTTGCTGTTGATTTACATTAATTAAAAAGAAGATAATAAGACAGACCGTACTTCAAAGAACTCTTACCTTTATTAGCTCAGTTCTTTGTGCTTCTGGGTCCATTCCTGCTGCTGAGAGCAGTTTAATCTTCTGTGCTTTGGATGCACGATCAGCAATGGAAAGCGTCATTTTTCTGTGTGTCTGACTTGACGTGGAGTGAGGTCTAAAAGTGAGTTTCTCTTTGAACACCGACTGAGCTTGTAAACCAGTTCCCTGCACAAAAAAAGATCAAAAGAAAATAATTATTATTTACTAACACTAACCACATCCCTCAAGGGCAAACCAACACAGTACTATCCAGAAGTTGAAAATTTGTTGCAAAGCTTAATTCTCAACTCGATTCCTGATTGTTTTATTCCAGCAAGAATCCAGTATCAGGAAGAAGTTATTGAGAATTGAGTAGTTATCATCAATAAACAGAAACTTACCCTATATTTGCAGGTGTGCAGTCGTGACTAACAGTGAGGTAGCTTGATTCCTAACACTAACCTAAACACCTTCAGTCACACCTTCACCCCAGAGTATCAGTAATAATAATTAACTAGTACTAGTTGACACTACAGCTGCCCCCGCTCTGTATATTGTCGGTCAATAGTAGTCTTGGTCATTGTGTAGCTCTTGAAATATGCCGATTCATAATGAAGATTTTCACACACATTCCATACAATATAGGTGAGATAAATACAGGAAACGCAAGGTTCCATGCACAGTTTTAGTTCGATTTACACAGCTTTGATCAAAACATTCTCAGTTTCGAGAATAGTTTATTCTAAACCATAAGAAAAGATTTAATTAGAAGTTGAATTTTTTGCTATTTCTCTTTCACTTTTTACATTCAGTTCATTTTATTTATCAATTCACGCTCGCGCATTCTGCTGCTAGAGGGAAAGAGTGTCTGGCAACGTTTCCAATCAAAGATTTGCGAACTCATACAATTTCTTCTTTTTATTAGACAAATTATTTTTGCTGTCACAGAGTATGTCATAGTATTATACAACTACAAACCTGCTGTACAAATAGGTGGTTAAAATTGCCATCAATTTTGTTTTTGTGAACATCAAACACCTCTCCAAGAAGCAGTGATGTGGAACCATCAGACCATCTCACTATTCTTGCATTACTTTCTTTTATCTCGTTCCCATCTTCATCTTTTCGGTATCTCCATCGAATTGTGTTTTCCACCTAGCCAAAAACAAAAAGACTGTGGTTGAAAGCTAAACCTTACCTCCAGCAGTTCTTGAATTACTGGTAACATTTGCTCATATTTTCAGTAATTTAACCAATAACTGGTATTATTATACATTGTATCTTCTCATTGGCTAAGATCCTACAGTTGATTTTGGAAATCAGTGCAACCTACAGATTACGGTAGTTAGTTATCTGCTAGCAGGAAACTGACTAATCTGCAACGCATGATCTCCAAGAGTAATGACAAATCGGTTCCGTGTTAACAGCCTCGGCCCTCGGCTCGGCTAATAACACTTACCCCAACCTTGATTATTCCAGATATCACAAAAGCCTCATCCAATAATTGTTTAAAATTTGTTTTAATCACATCATTTGCATGCTGCTTCATGTTTGAAAATCCACCTAAATCTATTATTTGCAAGCACATCACTCACATGTTTGTAAATGCCTAAAATAATGAAGATCTTTAAAATAATTTAAGCTCCATATGCTTTATTTCCAGTATTATTTCAGGTGTATTAAGATGCCGGTACATGTAATTATCATGTAAGAGCAAAATAATATGCATCAAGTTTAAACAGGAACAGGAATATTTAGTATTATTGAGAAAAAAGGTATTTATTTTAGTAACTCCTTCTCACGTTGGCCAACTGACCAAGAAGTCCCAAGTTTGATTCCTGGGGGAGGCCTCAAATCCTTGTTTCAAATTCTATCCCCCTTTCCGTGTGGCTTTGAGTGGCTTTAAGTACTTGTGAAAAAGACCACTTATAGATTATAGAGTGAGGGGTATAAAATCAGGTTTGTTTATCAAAATAATGATGACTATTATGACCTACCAAGGTAAAGTAAAGATTCTTTACCTTTTTACTTCTTTTAGGTAGTGGTAACATACATTCTTATTTTATACCAACATTCAACATTAATTTGCTTCCTGGTAAGTAATTATGATTCAAAGGGGACGAAGAGAATTCTGGGTTAACCTGAGAACCAACTTTACCTACAACATATAATATATAGATTTAGCCAAGGCCAAAAGTGAAGCTCTCGAGGGATTTTTTTTAGAAATGTCTTTCTCAAGTAATTTAACTTTTTCCATAAGCAGAAAGCAACCTGAATTCCACCTTAAAAGCAGCTGTCAATTGACTTTAACAGGAATGTCCAATACCAAGTTAAACATGGTAGTATATTACGCCTTGGACTCTTAGCTAGTAAGAGTGCCATTTCACATCCGCTAACATGAAGGGGTGGCCACATTTGCCAGGACCAAAATTTCTTGGATGCATAGATAACCAAAGTTTCTTACACATGGTGCTCCACTATGGGTGCTTCGTGTACACAAGAGCTCCACTATAATACAGCTATGTTTGACAACAAGAAATAAAAATAATTTGACATTACCTTTAACTTAAGTCTAGCCCTTCCCTCCTCATCCAACACTTCATCTTCTTCCATTTCATCTTCATATAGAGCTGGGTCAAATGGTTTCCGCTCAATGCTCAAAAAGTTGGGCATTTTGACAAAATAGAGCTCGGAGCCAAGTGAGAATCTGCAGTAAGGTATCGTAACATCAATTCTTGTTTCCTCCTCCTCTTCTTCTTCCCCTTCCTCCCTGGTGATGTCATCAGCATCTGCAATTGCTTGAGTTTCATCAACATCACGGACTGGTAGCTCTTCATTTTGCACCACAGTTTGATCTTCTTTCTCTTCATGCTATAAGAAGTGATTTTATACATGAAGTAAGCTATGCAAGACTTAGTTCTTCATAAATAGAAGTTACTTTTAGCTTCTCTTTGCAGTCTTTTCTTGTCCCATAAGGCTTAAAACTCTAGGATAAACAACATATTGACAAGGCCTTCCAAGGGGGGTATACCATTGCAATGTCAGTCATTTCTAAGACTGCCTGTCGCCTGTTAGGTTAAGAAACATGTTGCTGTTGGATTTCACCTGGGAAGAAAAATGTCACTGTCGGTTCAGAATAAATTTTTGCAATACTCAGTTTGGAATTTACAGCAGATAAAGCGCCTGAAAAGAATTAAGAATCTCTAGCGAGAGAATCATAAAACCATAATTAGAAAATGTTACAAAAAAAATAACCGGAAATGTTCTAAAATAATGGAAAAGAGTTTGTTATTTCACTGTCAAAACAGCCAAAATGCAAAAGAGAACAGATGTCCCTTTCGCTACCTAAAAAAATGGATTATCACTGTCCCAATATTATTCTTTCCATCTTTTCTGATGTTTGTGGGTGCTATTTGAGAGGAATCAAATGTCACCATTTTTCCAGGCAATGTTGCCTGTCACTTCCACCCCAAAAAGGCTTTCTTTACCAAAACATATGATGGTATGAGAGTAAGCTTCCACTGTTATACATCATTAGCAATGTTGCCTGGTGGTCGGTGCATCAAACTCCAAATCAGGGGATCCTGGGTCCAAGTCCCACCCGATCCAGTTGTGCCAAGTTTAAATCCACATCCATGTTCAGGGTTGTCAAAAGTAGCCAGCTGCCGGTGAAAATCACCACCTACTTGGTTAGTATCAGCCGGCTACTCTGCTTGGCATTTCTTTATGGATGGCGTTTTTTAAATAAGATATACATATACGTGCACTGGCCGCTTACTTTGATAACTTGGCCATCTACTTCAAAACTTTCTGACAACCCAGCACGTTTGTAAATAACCAACTGGTTGCCTCCTGCCAGAAGCGGTTTTGAATTCTGTTGTGTTATATCGATTTTTTATAACAGCTAGAGAAGCTAAGTGTGTTTCCCAAATAAACAAAGTATTAATTTTACATTTCTGTAACCATTGAAAATCCAGGATAACTTATATTAGACTGTTGTTTATTTCTTAACATTTCCTTGCTTTTAACACAGAACATTTTAACACAATCCATTGTTAAATTCTTAGTTTATGTCCTATTTTCCAAAACTTTCATGGTGACCTGAACCAACAACTATGCTATTGTGAGAGAGAAAGCGAGCTTGGGTATTTCTTGGTGTTGCAGAAACTACAGTTGGTTAACAATGATGTTGTGGTGTGGCCGCCATTCAGTCTTTTCATTCCTTTGAGTTACGGTCAAACCCCACTTAAAGGAGATGTGTCACGAAATTCAGCCAAATTAGGAAATTACAAAATGCCCGTTAAATTAAGAGAAACATAAAAATATCTGCTTAAAACTTTAAAGGAAGGATAAAATAACATAACAGAAACAACAGATGCCACGGATGGGCAAAACTGAAGAAGATTGAAATGGATTGAAATTAGGGTTTTTGAAAACTGTTCAACCTAACAGTTTTTCAAAGTTGATTCCTGCTGCTTGCAACTTCAAAAATAATACTCAGGAGACATATTTGTTTGTCACAGATCTCTGATTTTGTCATTTACATGTAATTTCTTTGCTTACTTTAAGTTCCATAGCGATTGAGAGCGAGTAATTGGAAAAATTAAACTGAACTGCCCTGACAGTAGCCCCTTTAACAGACATCTGCTTTATACGAACATCTCATTATTACAGACAGTTTTCTTTGTCCCTGGGGAAAGCAATTAAATTTTCTTTGAATTCAACCCACTTAATACAGACACCTATTAATGCCGACAATGGACACTTGTTTCTGGCCCAATCAACAGATTCTCATAGCAAGTTAACCTCAAAGACTCTTCATTATCAACTGTGTGTCATAATACTCATAGACCTTTCCTTTCTGAAGGTGAAAAAACCTTCATTTGACAGCATGTTGATGTTCCCAGCACTACAGTACACCGGATAGGATGAGTTGTGTGGGTTCAGACTTTTGCCAACAAACAATTGATGTAAAGAACAGTTCTGATAAAGTAATTCTTGAAAGTAATATATATAAATGAGCAATTTTGAGTGTTTGTGTGGATTTAGTCCGCGAAATGATGGCTTTGAGAAGGCTACAGATGTTAAATTTGCCAATGCTCCATTATTTCTTTAGTATTTTGTTCTAATAAAAAGTTTTTTTCACTTCTCCATAACATGACCCACTTAATACGGACACTTTCTTTGGACCCTTCAGTGTCTGTGTTAATGGTGTTTGAGTGTATGTCCTATATTTCGTGATCACACTATCTGTAACACCAAGTAAACCACCACAAAATTGAACTTAAAGTCTGCAATCCCTTAATGATGTGCAGTAGCATAAGGTGAAATTGATGGGGAAGTTTAAAATTAAATAACTTTGAGCAGACCAACCTGTTCTTCATCTGATGAAAGTTCCTCATCATCTCCAAACAAGTCAGTGGATGACAGCTGAGTCTGAAGCTTCGGCTTTGCAACATCCTTTCATTAAAAATAAAAGTTACACTTTTTACAATACAGATAAGAATAACAGCAGAATACCCGGCCACTCATAAGCTGGACCTAGAAATGTGGCTATGCGGCTACACAGCTACTTGGCTACATGGCGGCAGCTTCATGATTAAGGGGCTAACTAGCTGGTAGGTATTCTGCAATAATTAATTAGATGGCTGACAGCAGGGGGAAGTATGAACAACTGATGTTAACAGTTACATATATGCAACTGCTTCCTCATCTGTTGCATGTATTGTTCACCAAAATAAATGGTGTCTGGTGTGAGTAAACCATGTAGTGTGTACCGTTAAACCATGTGGTCACAATGTTGTTCACCCCTGAACTTGTCAGTGCGTGTGTCTGGACTGGTGTTTCAACCAGCCTGAAGTCTACCGTTGAGTACTTAAGATTAATTTTGTATAGACCTGGACACTAATCGCTCTATCAAGTGACAAAAAATATACACCAGAAGGCAGCAGCCTCATTTCTTACATCATTATCTTTCTCGTTATCATCATCCTCTCCTTCTTGAACCGCGTTTTTTCTTTCTTCTCTCTCTTCGCCGCTTTCCGCTTCTTCTTTGTCGGACTCAGAATCACGCGCACCGCCACCTTCAACCTCTTCTTCTCCTTCACTGGGTGAATCACCGAACAGCTCGTTCATTTGAGCATCCCGCTCTGATTTTTTAGGTGGTTTTGTGGCTTTCTCTTCCTCATCGCTATCCTCTAAATCGCTGCCAAACAAAAAGTCCTCCATCGACATCTTGACGACTGGGACAGTTGTGGTCGTCGGGCACAGAGAATAGGTTTGGTCAGCGTTGTTCTAGTTCAAAGCTGCGACGTCGTGTAAGACAACTGTACCTTAATTTGCTTTTTCTCTGGCCGATTAGCGCTTAACCCGGGGTTAAATTTAACCCTGGTTTCCTTTTCTTGTGTTCAAAAGCATTTTCTCGGATAACTTTCTCTGTTATTTTAAGAGCTTCCAATCATCAACTTGTAGACAAAAAGAATTAAAACTGAAATGCTTTTTAAGCTTTAAAATCTTAATTCAAATCTCGCACTAACCCTGGGCTATCTTAACCCAGCTTTGAACAACTCGGCCCTGATCTGAATTCTAGCCTCACACTTTGGGAAACGCCAGTAAAGAGAGCAAAAGAATCCAAATTGTCCAAATCCGAAATTTCCGCAGGATCTTTGAATTTCAGCTGGAATTCCTCCCTCCATATAGTCTATATATTAAAAAAGCCCCTCAATATCTTCTCAGGCATAAAGAACTCTATATTCAAAAATTATTCTTGTAAATACTCGCTTGTGTATTCATATGTACAGTTAAGAGATTTAAACTCGGAAAATTATCTGTAGCCTAGCGACACTAACCAGATGCTTGGTCTACTGGATGACAGTCCTAGCTTTGATGTCATGAAATTGTAGCCAAAAAATATTCTTGCCCCAGTTTTTTCTTCGACAGACATTTTGAATTTTGGAAAAGTACTTGGAACAATTTTGAAACGAGCGGGTCCGAGCGAGCGTAATACTCAGTTTTCGCGCGTAAATCAAAGAACACTTGGGGAAGTGGTAAAGTCAAGACACCACAAGGCGCCAAGTAAGACTGAGAGGCACTAATAGCAAGAGCTGAAATGGGATCAGCACTTTTCTAGAACAACTCTGGCTGTTGAAAATGTTTAAACTTTCTCAGTTTTAATCGGATTTTGTTTTTTGGAAGTCTTTCTTTGATAGAGAGATTTTATTCAGCGCGTAGGTTTTCATAGCCAACTACTGCAATTTTATAGTTATGGTATGTCAGTATAAAGGTCCACGACTGAATTAGACGTGTATCGAAGCCGACTGACTTTTTTGAGCGAGATATTTTAAGTCGCGAGAAGCCGTCCGGTTCCCTCCTGACAGGTAACCCAATCAAAATGATCGAATGCAATGATCGAATCATCAAACTTTCGGATTCGTTTAAAAAAAATAAGGCTATTTTAGCTGATGTGTTGAGTAGCATTCTTGACTCCCTATGTGTAAAATTCTCCCGAATCTCCCCGCCCTCATGCAAAAATCCAACATTATAGTGTTATCTACCTAATTTTCTTTGGCTCTATATATTTCACTCTTTTACATCATTTCTTCTTCATTTTATATCGACCCGATGGCATCCCTGCCTAATTTTTGGCCCCTCGATGAGACGAATTTTTTTAGACTACAAGAATGACTATAATATTTCTCTTAATGTATGACTCCGAACTTCTTATCAGAGATTCTAATGTTTATTTCTTTGCTTGTACCTCTAGTATCTAGACTCGGTTTGGCGGGTTCGGATGTTGGTTCAGAAGAAACAGCAAACCTTTTTTATTTCCTCAACTGCTTTTATTATCATATAATTAAAAGTTACATTAAATATCTTTAAGAGCGTTCTCCTCCTAATGTGCTTTTTCTTGATTGTTTAACTTGGCTTAAAAATCTGCATTTAACACTTGAATCTCTGGTTGAGGACATAGCACTTGGCAAGGGAATTTTTCACAGCTTCTTGAAGATCCGGAAGCCAGTGTAAGTATTCTCCCTTGCACAGGACGTCTTGCTGGAACTGCTACAGCTACGAGGACGATAGTAGCTGCCATACCTCATAAGCCAGGTACTCGAGGTGTAGTAGGGATATTTGAGGCCCACTACGTCACCATATTGCACAGGTGTACCATCCACTGCGTATCTCGAGTAAAGCTGGAAGGTGGCGTAGTTATATTTAAGCCAGTTGTTCCCAGTCATTGAGCTGGTGAGCCTGTTGGAAATAAAAGAAAACAAAGGATCCAAAGGTTGATGAATGAACATGTCATGAAATGAAACAACCGTTTACTTATTGGTGAAGCACAAGGCGATTTACTTACGATTGCATTCTGCAGTACCAGCTAGTCGATGATGCGCACCTCAGCAGGTAGCTGGAACCGTAGGCATAAGACCTCAGTGACACCGTGTCTCCACTGTTGATGGGTTCTCCGTTCTTTTTTGCTCTGGCTGTGATATAGAACTTTGCATACTTGGAACAGGAAGACCATAATGAAGGCGTCATACTCCGACTACCAGAGCAAGAGGTCCAGGCGCAGACACTAGTCGTGCAGTACATCAAGTAACTGTAGTAACTGCTGTGGGCTGATCGCAGCACAATAAGGTCCCCACTCTTAATAATAGGATATCTGTAGACTTGTAACAAGAAAGCACGTAAAATTAATTTCACGTTTGTTGTAAGAAAAATGGCGAAAATAAGTGATTAGGTGCTTCGACCTGCTTTTAAATGGGGCCTTTTGTTTCAGTTGTAATCTGTCATCATATATCTATCCTACCATTTTACTTCAAATATTTCATGTCCCGTGAAACTTTAGCAGATAACAACCGATTTTCAAGCATTTTTTCTTTCAAATCAAATGCCTCTTACCTCTTGATAAAGCGGTCCAGACGTCTTCTACATTGCTTTGCATCGAAACTGATGCTGTGCCAGTCATTCTCAGTCTGCCGCTTGAAAGACTAACGGAAGCTGATGACTTAACGCCATCCGTCCAGATTAATGCCACAAAAATATACAAGCCGAGAAACTTCATGCTCAAAAAGTGCTTTGTGATCGCTTGAACAGAATTGAAGTCGCTTAACGAGGACTGATTTTGTTATGAGCTTATGTGGCTTTTTAAAGATGTTTCTTACGCATTAAATGCGAAACAAGTTTAGGGATTCCAATAACATGTTTCTGGAGATGTACTTGACATGATTGAAGCCAAATCGGCCAATTAGCGTAATCGTCGTGGCTTTATAGAGTGCTATTGATTAAGTTAGGAAGTCGACAAACAACAAATGAATAGGATGTCAGTTTGATGCAAATTTTTCTCGGTTTGTGGTTTCCCTTTTTGTCGAATGTTTGTGTTGTTTTCAATACAAAACTTTCCCATCAAAAGTATAATGCTTAAGAGTACTGCTGAATTCATGGCCATTTTTAGACGAACTAAACTAATAAATTAAATATTTTTTTGGCAAAACAATGTATATTTAGCATCGTTTTGGAGAAAATTTATTACCGATCTGATACAGTTGATTGGCTCGACGAGTCTTATGTTCGAGGCCGGCTGACCCGACAGATGATCTTACAGTTAATTTGGGTCGACCTAAATTACAGTTTGGTTCAATTCGTCTCATGAAATGTTCGACGTTTGGCCTAGGTCTAAACCCCAGCAACTGGGGACTATTGCATCATGTAAGTTTTGGAGACCATGAGGAACTATGGGACACTCCGTACTAGGAGGAGGTGTATAAGGGCCCAACGATTTGGCATACGTTTTAATAGTTTGTATCGCCCCCTATCACCAACTCTGGCACACCGTGAGAAGCATTGGTGAAATAACTGATTAAATCTATCACCTAAATTTACGTAACATACTGCCCGCATTTTAAATAGCTGAAAGCTAAACGAATCAGGTCGATTTTGATCTGCGTTTTTAGAGGAAGACTGAGTTATACTACATGACTGCAAATCAGTTAGGGAGACATTGCTTTAAGATACGAATCTCAGAATTTCAGAACGTACTTTGAAAAAAAGGGCGAGGCCATCGTCGATCACTGAAGATGAGGCATCATTACTTATAAAGGAACGGAAACTCATGGGAGAAGGGGCGAAGTACGAAAAAATATTCGCACAAGGGAGAATTAAATGAAAAAAGTCGTGCCCGCCAAATTACCCTAAAAAATATTGATGCGCCTGAAAAGAATCATACAAGGAAAATGATAACGAAAAAAAATTAATGCAACTGCAAAGTTCTCCAACCCCCATAACTTTTCTGATTGTCCGAGTCCCTAACGGTTAGAACGTAGTACTATAGTAGGGTGCAGGGAAAACGTTTTGGATTAATCTTTCTGCTTTAGTTTCTCTCCTAGCAGTGCCTTCTTAGAATGCTCAATGAGCCGCTCGGGATGATCAGGGAAAATTATGCAAAGGGAATGTGAATACTGAAAAAAAAGGAATAACAAGAAGAGGAAATAAAACAGCAGTTGTGATCTTTATAGTAGAGTTACGGAATAGACTAGGGATCATGACCGAAACTACACGGATCGGTTTGTCTTCTCAAATGTGCGAAATCAGTGAAGTACCATTACACGTGCAGGGCTCATTCCTCAACTTCTTTATTAAGTTGCAAAAACTGAGAAAAATACAGGTATCCCTTAAGACTATTAAAGACATTTCACCCAAGCTCCGTTAGTCAAAAAACTAATCCGTTTATGTTCAAATTTATGTTGAGGAATTCATGCTGATTCTTCTGTCACGTTACGACTTCATCTTAAAGATTTTGAAGCCTGTGAAAGTGTCCTCTTTTGCGCAAGAGGTTTTGTCATTTCTGCTACAGCCACGCGGATAAAGGAATTTTCCGCTTCTGGTCAGCCATGCTTTGCTGGAACTGAATAAGTACTTGAGTCCCACCACATCGCCATACTGCACTGGGTTCAAATCCTCTGTGTCTCTAGAAAATATCTGAAAAGTCGCGTACTGGTAGATCAACCAGTTGTTTCCTGTCATTTCGCGGTTGAATCTAGAAAAAATAGCAAAATTAAAAGTGGGAGTTAGAGAGATCAACTCCGGGATTAAAAATATAGCGCCTATGTTTAATCATTTGCAATGCCGCGTTATGTCTTAAATTCTTACTTCGGTATAAAAACTAACTCATACAGAAAAAATATGCAAGGCAAAAATCGAAACAGCTTAAGTTCCTCGTCCTCTGTTGCTTCAGTATGATCTCGCAAAAGGCAACTAAGACTTCCAAACTCAAACAGCTTTACTACTTACTTAGCTAAGTGACACTTTACTTTGGAAGATCTACTGCAAGTCAGCTTGTAGTGAGGACCGAACTTAGTAGAGAACAGAGACACTGTGTCCCCACTGTTGATAGGTTTTCCTTTCATTTTTCCTTGGCCAATTATGATGAATTTCGCGTAATTCAAGCAGGTCGAGGAATCTTTTGCTTTATCAGAACATGGCTTCCATTTACAAGCAGTCTTCGTGCAACGTAATGACTGCTCTGTGTCCTTCCTGAGGGCTGGATGCAAAATGATGGTGTCGCCGCTGTTAACTATGGTAGCTCTGTCACTGTGCGCTTAAAAAAAGACACAAAAATTATATCAATTGAGCTCTGTAGTTTGTGAAAAGAGTGTTCTAATCTTGGAGAGATGAGTTAAGTTGAAAAAGCTCGCGCGTCGCTTTAGTTAGGGTCAAGCCGAGAGCATGTTAACCGTAATTAAAATAAAAATAGAAAATAACTAATTCAGGAAAAACAAATGACAATAACAAGATTTAGAAGCCTCAAATCCAAAAGAAAAACAAAGTATAATAAATCCAGTTTAGAGGTAAAAATTAGAGGTTGCGTTCGCTGTTGATTTTGCATCTTACCGCTTGGTTTGTTGTTCAAAGATTTAGCCGCCTCTAAGTAAGACACTCCGTCGACAAAAATTAATCCAAAGAAAATTACCAAACTGACCAACTTCATTTTGAACGCTTATAAAACTGTTTTATGGAATCGACGTTCTTAACCGAGATAATAATGATGTGGTTGTAGGATAGTTTTTCATAATCAGCATCGTTCGATTGAGCAGAACATGTACGTAAACGCGTTAAAGGAGTTGATTGATTCGATATTAATGGACAGTGCAGTGTAAATATTTTCTATAGAAATATGTACACTGAACGTTCAAACAGAAACCACATAGTATTAGAAAGTCAAATAGAGCAAAATGTTTGCGGAATCGCTTTCACTTTATGAATAAACATACCGTAAAATATGTTCACGACATCATGTTTTCGAGGACGATTATATCGCAAACACCTAGTTAAAAAATTCAGAACTAATGTTAATATGGCAAATTTTATTGTAAATAAATGTCCTTACCCCATGCCCTTTTTCTTTAGCACTCCGGCGGTTATCCTAAAAGGCTCTTGAAAAAACAGTGCCAAATTAAAGAAGATATTAAGAATAAGAATAAAAAAAATTGCAAGCGAATTCATCTACGTGGGAAAAACACATTGATTGACTTGTCAAAATCGGACAAATCTATAGGTGCGGTTACACAGGAACTTTTACCGTCCCTTTTACCGCGGGAAATTGGCTTAGTGCGTGTGACCGGACTTTTCCAAGAGAAATTTACTAATGAGAAATATCCATGGTTACGTCAAAAAGAAGAAAGAAACCGCCCATGACACTGACGGTGAAATAGCTGGGGTTTTTCAATACCCAAGGCAAGCCGAGGAGAGTCAATCATGCAGGTTTCTTCATTTGACACCAACATGAAACCGCAAAAAAACATTGCTTTTTGAACGGGTTTCTTTCGCGCTGTTGGGAGAAAAAATCGACGTTGACATGGCAGTTCCAGGTATGTAACCGAACAGTGGGATGCAGCTGAACTGTAAAATGAAATCTAAGGTAAAGATTAAAAAAATGATATGTACCTTCGTTCACTCAGGACCGAACCATAAACCACGTGTTCACTCCTGAACTTCTCATTTCGTCTAACTGAACTGTTACAACCGGCCTGGTCTTATTTGTATAGACAGTTGGACAGTTCTATCAAATAGCAAAAAGTATACACCAGAATGCAGCAACCTCATTTCTTATATAAAATCTCCTCTCCCCTAGCCCCTTAGGAAGGTCTGATACTCAGGCTATAGAGCCTCTCGGATGGCCTCGTTTTGAAACCGAAAGGCACGTGTGCGTGAGCCCTCAGGAAACGTAAAGATGGCGGCCGAAGCGAGTACAGATGCGTTCAAAACTGAGACAGATGTCGTTATTCCCGGACTTGGAGACTTGCCTGTTTCTGGAAACCAAACTTTAAAACGAGATCAACCTTCAGGAGATGAAAGTGTTAGTTCAGGAGCTCTAGAACATGGCGATGAAGTCATGAAAGAAGAGCCAGATTCGGGGACGCCGCCACCAAAAAAGAAACGGCGACCGAATAGAAGAAGAGGTAGTAATCTTAGTGGCCTCGTCCAGAGAGGGCCTAAAAACGCCTTAATGCAACTTAACGAGATACGACCTGGTTTGAATTATGAAGTCACCTCACAAGAAGGTCCCACACATTGTCCTACGTTTGTAGTGACCGTTGTTGTAGATGGACACACATTCGAAGGAAAGGGCTCCTCGAAACAGAAAGCGAAACACAATGCCGCTGAAAATGCTTTGGGTTCTTTTATTACTCAGATGCGTACGCCAGCTAAGCAGCTGCGTGCAGAAAGCCAAGAGCAAGCTGGTCTTGCCTCTGTTTCCGATTTTACTTCGGATAATACTGGAACGCTCATGAAAACCTTTGGAAATGGAGACCAGCCCATGCCAGAGAGCGAAACTGAGCGTCCGGCAGCTGATGTATCTATGCCATCAAGCAGAACCAAAGCTCCCCAGATGCAAACTGATACAGGGAAACATCCAGTAATGCTGTTGAACGAGTTTCATCCTGGCACCCAGTATGAATTCCTTGGGGAGGAAGGTGATCAAAATGCTAAACAATTCAAGTTTAAAGTCACTGTCGATGGACAGGAATTTATTGGCATGGGAGGCAGTAAAAAGAAAGGCAAAGCGAACGTTGCTTCCAAAGCTCTCTTTGCATTGCATAGCATCCGCACATTTTACACCTTCACTGGACAATCCGAAGCCAGATATCAACCAACATACTTGGGACCTCCACCCTCCGCACAATTAGATCCACTAGCTGCAGATCTAATTGCCGAGGCTGTGTTAACAAAGTTTCAGAGTCTGCAGTCAGCAGCCGGACAAGAGCCAATTCGGCGAAAAGTTTTGGCTGGAGTTGTAATGACAAGCCGGGGTGACAGTTCTCAAAAATTCGAAGTGATAAGTCTGGGTACGGGGACCAAGTTTATAAGTGGAGAGTACATAAGTGATCAAGGACTAGCCTTGAATGATTGCCATGGAGAAATCGTTGCAAGAAGATCGTTTCTGCGCTTCTTGTTTTCTCAGTTGGAACTATGTGCTGAAGGATATGAGGAAGAGTCAATTTTTGAGAAAAAAGAGAGCGGTTTGTATGGCTTAAGAGATTATGTTGAATTCCACTTGTATATCAACACCTCACCATGTGGTGATGCACGTATCTTTTCTCCGCATGAGCAAGTTTCCGGTGAAGGTGATAAACATCCAGGAAGGAAAAAGAGAGGCCTTCTTCGGGTGAAGCTGGAAAATGGTGAAGGTTTGTTAACTTCTTTATGCTGTGCTAAATTTTGACATAACATTTAGAGACAGCTACGACTTGGGATAAAGCTGCTGGGACAGTTCAGACTGTTTTCTAACCTTTACACTATAGTACCCTTTCCTCTAAAGAGAGCGAAAAATAAGCCCACCCCCAATTCAATGATGTTTTTAATTCTTGTGTTTCTCTAAACAACATTGGATAAGGGGGAAGGGGGTGAGGGAAAGCATTTGTTTATTTGGCGACAGTTTCTATCTTTGCAAGGATGACAGGAAAAAAAATAGGCATTGTGTCTCAACAACACATTTTGTCCGGGGCTGTAGCTATTATTTTCCACAACTCTTGGCAACAAGGTGAAATACTCTCATTTTTCAAAAATACTGCAAAATGGTAAATGATTATGAAACTACAATAAGGGTAAAAGTCTCTTGGGCTTTAGTATCAACACCACAAACCAAATTCGAATGAAAATTTATTGTAACTAACATGCTTGGTACTTGAAATCAGTTAAATGTTTGGTACAAACAGTGTGGATACAAACTGAGTGGGTTGAAACTAAAACGATAAAAGAGCAAAAACTTACAAGTAGCGACTAAGGAAAATTAGAATAAGGAAATAATGAAGACTGCAAAGAGCGAGGACTGTAAAATACACTGACATTGTTTCTACCAGACAAAACTGCTGTGAAGCGGACTGCAAAATTTGCATTATTTAATAATGCAAAGAGACTTGTAAGAAACTAAACAGAACTACGGTTAGTATGGACCAAAAAGAACGAACAAACTGTACTGCAGAACTACGATGTAAATTACGGTAGAATATGTGGAACATACAGAAAAGCAAACTAAAGAAGCTGACAAAAAAAGATGTTAATGAAGATGAAAGATGTAAAGAGAGGCTAACTAGGGGTTGAAAAATAACACAAGAACTAAACTCCAAAACTTGCTTAAAGATACTAAACAAAGAGTGACAAACTATAAGCTTAATTAAAGTACGCAATTAAAGCCAAAACGAATCATAGAAAAAATGTTACACTTGGATCTTACATGCTTGATTAACTCCTTGTACTCCGTGATATGTACATTGCAGAAATATATTGTAAATGTTGCGATATTCAATTTTGTTTTGTAACAATCCAGAGTCAAATTTTTAGCTGAACTACAGAACTACTCTTCATTCTGTTTGTGTTAGCCATAGAAACTAAGAAAATACACAGCTGTTTCTGCTCTCTGGATCTCATGGACTTCAATGACCGTCTCATTTCAACTGCAGTAAATGAAACGAACTAAATGGTTTGCTTTTATAGCCGTCTGTAAAAAGTCACATGATGCACAGATTGCACAATACCACTGCATATCAAAATATCAGCCTTGATCAGATCCCATGTATATGTTGTGGTTTATTTTATCCTTGGTTTAAAATGTATTTTTCATTTATTTCAAACTACCATACCCCAAAACAAAGGAAAACAACACGCTATGGAGCGTACACTTCGGCGTCGTGGTTGTGGAACTACGGCTTGGCGCACGCTACTGGTGTACACGAGCGTAACACCGTGCCTTACGCACGATTCGCGCTCAAGAAAAGGCACGGTTTTTGTGCCAAAGCACGGGAAAAAAACATGCAAAGGCACAGATTAGGCACACTTTAGGCACAGTTAATGCACGTTTTAAATATTGCTAAGGCACACTTTAGGCACAGTTTGGGCACAGTTTTGGCACGGTTTAGGCACGGTTTAGGCACGTTTTGGGCACAAATATTCAACGCTGGGCACTTTTTTGAAAATCTTTGTAACCCGACTTGCAAAAAAGAACAAACTTGGTACGAATTACAAAAATAATTCAGATCAAACGCGATACAGTTAGAAGTATAGGAAGTGTAAGTTTTGAGCCGCGCCGAAAGTCTGGAAAATTAAAGTATTCTTCGACAGTCCGTGTTTACTCTTAGGATAAAGTGGAAATCACACACGCGATATATGCCGGTCTGAACCTTTTCGATTGCCATGCAATTTTATAGACTCGCTTTCTTTCGTTTCTAAAAGAAATCGTGAAAGAAAGTCAAAGCCATAATAACAAAAACAAAGCTAAAGAAGTGAGGCACAAAAATAGCCAATAAAAGTCGTAGAAAATACTTTTTGCGATCGCGCTAAAATTGGCCTGAATTTGCATGACAACATGAAAAGTACAGAGTGGTAATTTGAAACCTTCATGCCAACGCGTGTTATTTTTAAATACAAAATGCGGCTGCTTTTTAAAAATATTTCTCTAACTAAAAAGTAGGATTTACACTGTAGCAAAATAATTCAAGCTGCTTGTTTGTTTTTGTTTTCTGGCTCTGTTAGCAAATTAAGCTTTGATCGTATAATAATCGATGAGACGTGCCATTTATTTCAAAACTCATCGGCGTGCAATCAATTTTTTCGTTTTCATTTTATAAGTCATATCACAAGTAAATTCTTTTTTTGAATGCAAATCTGACCTCCTGAAAAAAACAAATATTTCGTTCCAACTAAACGCTCCATTAAGAAGAGGAGAAGAAACCTACTTGGAAATTTTTTAACATCGATGAAATTAGCATAATATCAACAATGTAATCGCATGCTGAGCACTTACTTTAAATACGCTAACCTGTTTAAGATTCCATTTTCCTGTTTGTCGGGGCTTTCCCTGCTGTCTCTAACCGTATTCTGAGTCATGTTATTTCTTATTAGGGGATAAAAGGTCGTCAGACCGTGTTTCTAGACTTCGTAAACCTCAAAACTGACATAATTGCCGCGGCGCCCTTTTCGATTCGCTGTGTGAGCTCGATAGGCTGGACACGATTTTCGAAAGTGACTCAATATCTTGGCACAACTTGTGCACAGATTAGGCACAGTTTGGGCACAACTTAGGCACGGCTTAGGGCGTTTTTCAAAACTAAAATGCACACTTTATGCACATCTTAGGCACATTTTAGGCACAAAATCTTTATGCCAAAGCACACTCTAGAATCCGATTTTCGGTCCAACGCACGGTTTACTTAATTTTCACGTTAAAAAAAAGCTGTCTAACCTTACATATTTGATCTTAGCGTAAAAATGGGTTTCCCAATTCTTAACAGTTAGTCTATAAGGAAAATTTAACTTATGAGCATTCCAAAATTATTATTTCTTCTCTTAACAACAACAGAAAGTCAATGAAAAGCAATCTTTTAAATTGACGCGTTAAGGCTGCACAGAGATCGTATGTAGACAGAACATCTTTCTGAAAACGCCCTAAACTTTGTTGTTTTGCCGTTATGTTCAGTAATTTTTAATACAGTTAGTACTCATAAGTCACTGACCTCTTCGGAGAAATTTTTCCAAGGTACTATTAACAGAAACAGAGAAATCCCACAATATGCGTGGTTAGACTGTAAATGTTACGCGAGCTGTTAAAAAATGGTCCCATTTTGAGCCATATTTTTCATATTTCAATTTTATTTTGGTCTTACAGCCACGAAAAAAATATTCAATGAAAAGCTGTTTATAAACTTTAACTGTTTGCCAAATATCGATGCGATCTGAGTTTTAATAAGTTCGTAAGAGCCAAACGATGTGAGATGCTTAACCGTGTACACCAGTAGCGTGCGCCAGGCCCTACTTAATTGTAAATGCGGAGGAATAGTAAGAAATCAAAAATGGTAAGAGTAAGGTGTTAATTTGTGAAATTATGGGATTTGTCAGGATATTCTGAAAAGAGCAACATCCAAGAGGCCTACTTGCCAAAAACTAGCATTTCGGGACAAATTGTCTCCGAGGTATTAGCCCAGCTATGCTCTGATGACTCCATGCAAATCCTTTTAAAAAAACAATTCTCTATTTTTCTTAGTCACATCAGGCTTCAAAAACAGCATAGCAGTCTCATGTACTGATTAAAGATATGTAAGGCATGGGTAAGGAGTCAATTTCGTTGAGCATGGAATTGGCTAAAACTCAAAGTCACGAGTTCGAATGTTTTGAGGATAATTATTCACTGACTATCAGCACGCAGGGATGTCGGATTAACACAAGGAAGTTTAACACCAAAGGAACATAGCCTTTACAGAGCTTTAAAACACAGCATCCACCAACGTAAACTGGACTTGAACTTTGAGTAAAACTAAACAGCCTCTACCAATAATAACAAACTCTCACTTGAACTTCAGATATCTTACGGCTTCCACGAACTTGTAAACACAGAACCTGAAAATCGACCTTTGTCACACTTGACTAAACACAGCAGTCCAGCTCGTGGGAAAAAACTTAGATCGCCAAAAGAACTCGCTTGGAACTTGTATACCGTTTGACATAAGGTTCTAGAAAATACTAAACAGGCGAATAGTAGTAGCTTCTCGACATATTTTATGATTTCAGTAACTGATGCAAATCTGCTGACTCATGCTGAAATGTAAACATACCCTAATTAATTATTCATGTATAATCCAAAAACGTAGAGAACGTTCGAGAGAGTCATGCAACGCGACACTCAGCAAAGACAAAATGTCTTTGTGCAGCATTTTGTAACTTTAAATTCGTCATAAAACAGTTCGAAAGGAGTGCTCACTCGTGAAATGTTTTTCAACACTCGAAGAGAAATTTTGTGTCTCTGCGCGGCCACGAAATATCCTCTATTTATTTCTCGAGTGACTAAACTCGAAGTGATCTCAAGATATCACGAAGTAGTCCGATCTCATTTCGCGAAATAGTTGAAACAAGCCGAAAAGTCACGAACTTGCGCGCCCAATCTTGTCCCGAGACTAGTGCATCATTTCATAACTATTTTTCATATGCCAAACTACCTTGGGTCGCAGTAGCGCAATCGGCTAATCCCTCAACTTAGAGTCTCCTCTGATCTGATGGGTCACACAGGTGAGTCGGTTCAAACCCCGGGAAAGCCAAAATAATAATTTTTTCTTCCTCGAAAAAGTGAAAGAATAAATCAAAGAAATCGAAGTGATCGCGAGATATCTCGAACTAAGTCGGCTCTCACTTCGTCAAATAGCCGAATAGAACTGAAAACCTACAGACTTTGCTTGCCCAATCTTGTCAAAAAATTGCAACTTTGATACATTCCTGAGCATCTGAGCTCCGCCGAAGTAATAAATTTAACCAAGAACAAATTGAACCACAACATGTACACCCAATATTTTGTAATAACTATTATTTTGGTTTCAATATCTATATAAAAGAAACCCAGGTTTAATTTAATCCCAGATTAAGCACTTATCGACTTTCGAACAACAGGGCCCAAGAGTTTTTAGGTCAATTCCTAGACTCAGTCCATCACTCAGGGGCTTAACTGAGAAATGATCTTCTGCCTTTGACCTGCATATGGCTAGATCTTTGCGAGGCTCAGATGACCAGATAAAATGGCAGCTCTGTCTGCAGTAGGAGATTTAAAAACCAAGTTCTCAATATTGTGCTAAGTACATTGACAATCAAATAAGGAGCATTTTTATCCCACTAAAACCTACTGCAGAATACAGTCAGCTCTTGCCTTGCGGACACCACACTATACAATACGGACAGCAGCTACATCCTCTGCAAAAATAAAACGGATGATTGACTGAAATAAACTCCCCGTATTACAGGCTCTTGCTAATGGGGACACTAACTTGAGGTCCCCATGGTGTCCGCTGTAAAGGGAATTGACTGTACTGTAGGAGGAGCTCCCCATGATGAAATTCAAACTCAGGGTGATTGGACGATGTACTTACATACATACCAACCTTTATTTTACTCTGAAATTTTAGAGGAACTTACAGGCACTAATATCTTTGAGGAAAAATACATAAAATACATTGCATTAGCAGAGATTTTTTGTAATTCTTTTTGAAGACATGTATTCAGGGCTGTCAATAAGAGGCAGGGGCCAGGGACTTCCCCCGGCTGCTATTAATGTGTCCCCCAGATACTTTCATCGGAAAATAGAAGAAAAATTGCCCTAACCCGGCCTACTTGTTGTATTTACCTGGCAACTTGAAATCTTAGTGACATCCCTGTGAATTAGGACAGCATTTCACAACATGTTTGCAGTTGTTATTTTCAATCACCAAGAGTTTCTTCTTAGTTTTCTTTTTTTTTTCTTTCTGACAGGTACAATTCCAGCCTTCAATGGAGGCACAACCATTCAAACATGGGATGGTGTCCTTCAGGGAGAACGTCTGCGGACTATGTCTTGTTCAGACAAACTGTGCAGATGGAATGTCATTGGAGTTCAAGGATCCCTCCTTAGCCACTTCCTGGAGCCAGTGTATCTTCAGTCAATCGTTCTCGGCAGCTTGTATCACTATGAACATATGTCTAGAGCAATGTACCAGAGGCTTGGTGATCTGGAGGGACTACCACCACTTTTCAAACAGAGCCGCCCTTTGATGAATGGTACTACAGCTCCAGAAGCAAGGATAACCATCAAATCTCCAAACACCAGTGTAAATTGGAGTGAAGGTGATGAAGGTTTTGAATTGGTCAATGCCATAAGAGGAAAGGTAGGTGAGGTTCCAGTAGCCTCGCGACTTTGTAAACAGAATCTGTTTAAATGGTTTATATCTCTCTGGAGGAAGCTCAAGCCTGCAGAACAGGTACCGCTCTCATACCATGATGCAAAAGAAGGAGCGGTGGACTATCAGTCAGCAAAAATGATTGTGATGAAAGGATTCCATGGCCAAGGTCTTGGTTCATGGATCAGAAAACCTGTGGAACAAGACATGTTTGAACTGTCAGATGCAGCTCAGTGATTAAACAGGAAAACACTTTCCTTTTTGGTAACTTTAGAAAGACAGTATGTAATGTAGAGTATCATGCATGAACCTTTTTTAACACAATAATGTCTGTGTTAGACAGCCATTATGTTAAAACTTTGTCAAACCAGAAAAAGTAAAGAGCAGACCATTCCTTTTGTTGAGCTACCACCAAGTTGGATAATGTTAGGCTTGTAGCTACGTTGCCAAAAAAAAGAAACTGTAAATTTTTTCAAGTTTTTAAATTTTACCTGGGTTATTTTTTAGAATTCACAATTTTCACTGAGTCCATAATGCACCTTGTTTACCCCCAAAACAGTACATAACTATTGTTTCCAATTCCTCCAGGGTGTCACAGTCATTACAAAGAAATTGGAGACAGTAGTTATGCAAAATTTTGGGGGGTAAACGAGGTGCATTATGGTCTATGTAAAAATGGTAAATGGTGTCTTTAAATTGTTCTTGTTGTTGTTTTTGTTTCATGCTTAAAGTAGCCAAAGTGAAATCAAACAAACCCACACAAGACTTACTAATGCAAAGGTTGTGCTGTAAGAAAGATTTTCATCAGAGTTACGTGAAAACCTCTGCAAGGCACCGTGCATTTTAATTTTGTACAAAACTGAGATTTGTTAGATTTCTTGAACGTCACCAGTGGGTGCAGCTAGAGTGCATCCCTGCCTGTATAAACTATCACTCAAATTAATGTAAATTTGCCTTTTGATCATGCTAGACTTAATTCTCTGTTAATTATGGTACTTCTGCACATGAGAAGTTATCTAGTTCAAGATATCTTATTTATCATAAGACAACCAATGCACAGACATTGAAGTTGTTTGGTGTGTGCCAGAGCAATAGCTTTCTAGTAGTCAAGTCCTGTAGCAGTCCCTTAGTATTGTTGCATATTGACAAAAGCATATCGAGTAGGCAAAAAATGAAACTATTGCAGCTGTTCCATCTCCATTGTCTCTAAACCTGCCTTTGCTGCACAAGCTGGGCATTCAACCGACTGAATAGAAACTACTACCAGACTACAACCTTTCTTCACTCTTTCACTCCCAGAAGGTACCGAGTCAAAATTGAAGAAAAAATCAATTTTTTTTTCAGTGCTGACAAACAAAGCATATCCTGTAAAAGTGCTCATGTAGAGGTTTGATTTAAATGGTAACATCATGGGATTTGGTCGAACTACTTACTAAATAAACAGTTCCACAGGAAAGCACTGCAAGCTAGCTTTCATTTAAATGGTCAAACAATAAGATTTCATGCACAAACTTGGAAGTTAGAACAGCCTTGTGCAACATAGTAAGCAGCTCTACAGGAAAGTTCTGCTCAGTAGCTTTCATTTGAGTGGTCACACCTCAGGATTTCAACCAAAGACTCAAAAGTTAGAACTACCTTGTACAGCATAATAAACAGTACCACAGGAAAGTACTGCTCAGTAGCTTTCATTTCAGTGTCCACATGTAAGAATTTTGGGACTGTGTTTAATATCTCTACCATTGACTTTTGAGTGTGGAATGGTTAACCCAGGTCAAAACATTTTGACCCAAGAAACAATCATTAAGGAAATTTCTTCTACCACTGTTCTTAAAAGTTATAAGAAGACAAAAACACTTCCTTGCACTAGTGCCCACGTCCCCAATAATAGCGATATTTCTTTTTTCGTCACCTATTGTTATTACTGTGCCAAACAAAGGATCATTGGCTATTGAAACAAAAGTTTCTCTTGTCTCGGTGATTGGCACGTGTAATCGAATAACAGAAAATGATGTTTACAAACAAATATAGCAAAATTCTGGGAGTGGGGGCTATTCTTAGGAATGTTTGACAGTAGTTGTTACCTTTTACCTTTAAATACCGTTGTAAATACCTTCTTTTTGTTGTACTCTCAGGGGCGGATCCAGGATTTTTTTTAGGAGAGAGTGCACTCGTCTCTTGCTCTACTTCAACACCAATAAACCACATAGGTTTTATTTGTTTTTGCAGAATGCCAGTTGTATTAGAAAACCGCAGGTCATCTCAGTGGGGGGTGGGGGGTGGTGCGCACACCCTGCACCCTCCCCCTAGATTCGCCCCTGACTCTAGAGTTATTTTTTTCGTGCAGTGATGTTAATTTATCTTCACCCAAGATTCCAAATTCATTGAAGCCTATGATACTCCCGTCTACAGTGTAAGGCAAAGGTGCTGGAATTTTTAAGACTTGGTGCTTAAGGAAATTTGGAAAACACTATATTTGCTGAAAGATAATAGTGTTTATTTAAACTCGTGCAAGTTTTTTCTGTATCTTTAACGTAGTAAGCCTTAAAACGGCTGTATGTGCTACAGTAAAAATCCGCAAGTATTAAAATAGAGCCTGTTTTTTTTTGAGGGACCTGATAGACGAAAATTTGCCAGTTAGGCCCCCTCTATACAAGAAGCTGTTTAGCCTAAAATTTGAAACAGGTTCTTACTTTCTAAATTTTCTAAAATATTTTGTACACTGTGGCAAATAAGATACGTCAACATTCAGGAACCTCTTCGGAGACAGGTGATAAGCTGAATACCGCTAAATAGTCTTAGCTACAAAGTTTTTTTTCCTTCAGAAAGTAAGACCCTATTTAAGAACCTAAATTTGCGCTAAAGACCATTTATGTAAGAACCTGTTCAGGATAACTTGGGAAAATTCAGGTTCTTTATACTCGCGGATTTTAACTTTACGCCTTGCAAAGAGCAGCGTGTGGATTAGAAAATCATAGTTTGAAGTTTAGAAATATCTGCCATTTCCCATGAATTTCTTTTAGTTGTATAGTAACCCTAGCTAGTTTAAGTTGCCCGGCCTGTATTCTGTAGTTATGCCGCAGCATTATAAATATTTATTGTATATTTCTGGTTGTTTGTTTGCGTTATGAAGATATTGACGAGATAAATTTTCCAAAACAAGTGTTGTGTTTAAGTCTTTGATGTTTATTACATTAATGGCGCTACTTTTAATCAAAGGGTGCCTATGTCTAATGGCTCAGTCAATTCCAAGCGTGCCCATCCCCTGGACATTTGTCATTTTGTTTTGGAACGGTTGTAAATGCCCCTCGGTGGGGCTTAAAAAATAGGGTGCAAATTCCTCACCCCGGGACAACACCAAAGTTGTGTTTTCCAGTAAATAAGCTGCAACTATCATATTTATGGGAAATCTCTCAAACGCGTAATGTGCCCTACGCAAATCTCCCCTAGCTGCTAGTTATATTTATTGCAAAAAAGATCACATCCATTTGATTAATATCAATAACAGAATTATAAACTAAAATCTAAACAACTTTCTCATTTATTTTATTTTTTTGGGGGGCGGGGCGAAAAATGAAAAGGGGTTTCTTCTGTTGGGAGTCGAATCCTAGCCCATCATTGGGTAAAGTCAACGCCTTATCTATTGCGCCACGACAACTAATGTTACCCATCCACGTTACATGTAAATTAAATAATAATTACTCACCGAAAGTGGAGGTGGCTATTTATCGGTAACCTAGGTTCTGGGGACGAGATTGTGATTTACTAGGATTGACCCGGGCGTTATAAACAAAGTGGAAGCTCTTGGATAATGGGCCTTAGACTGCATACCAAGCTTTCCTGTGCGAAAGACGGAAGAGCGAGAGCTGAGGCAAGAGCTGAAACACTCTATGCGCCTTTGACTGACTTTCGCTGACTTTAATAAAAAAGAAAGGAAAAAAACCCTCATGTCTATGGTGTGACAAGCCTTTCTTTCTTCACTGCGGACTGGCCTAAATCGATCAGGAAACAACAGTCTCTTTAAAATGATTTGGCCAAGATTTACTGTTCGGCACTTTTTTGTTTAAGGTTTTCCTCCTTCGAACAACGAGTACAGTTGTACCAATAATTGCTAACTTAATCTCAAAACCTTTATTAAAAAAATTGGAAAATGGGCTTAATTTTCCAGAAAAAAGGTAGAATTCGATATTTCTACCCTTTTCAAATTTTCAGACACGGTGCAATCCCAAAACCGCCTTTGTATTTAAGTTTTATTCTCATCACAGACAATTCAAACAACTTGAGAAAAGTTAATGTTTTATTTTACCCTGGTGAGTTGTTGATACAATCAGTAATTTCGTCAGAAAAATAGTCGATCGTAACTAACACGTGTGCAATATGAGACAAATATAGACAAGTGTAAATGTTAGAAAATCTCACAGAAAGGAAAAGTTTCAGTGAAACGCAAATGGTAAAAATCTCTAACACAGTAGTGAGTGATCATAAAAAAAAATAAAATTGGTGTTTTACATTAAAGGATTGGAAAAAGGACACAGAAAAAAACCGTACGTACTTAAATACTTTCACTCTTCAGTGAGTCTTTTCATACAAAAATGTACAGTGTTTGCTATTCTAAAATTAGATAGGACTTTCCAGTTCGAGGAAAAACGTCTTAATAAAATGCAATACTCTCACGAACCTATGAACTTACAGTGAATTGTACAGACCGACCATTCAGTGAATAAATAACATTTTTTAAAATAACTTTGAACGTTTGAATGCTGTACACTACCCGACGGATTGATAATTCATGTTGTGCGTTATTGAATGAGTTATTAAATTTCATCGTGTACGATACTTCTCTCCGTTCACTGCTCCTTTTTTTAAGACCGCAATAATGTAATTTGTTCAAATTTCTTCAATTTCTTCAAATTCACTGAAAATTGAAAAGCTCTGTTTCTGCCCCTCATGGAGCCATTTCAGCCAAAACAGCCCCATCAAAAGCCTATTCCAGCCCAAGCTGGGTCTCATTTCCACCCATGGGTCTAAATCAGTCCTAGGTAATTGGACTGTATTGGCCCTGATTAAGGGAGCCACATTGGACCCCGAAAATAGGACAGTGTTTTACTCACCGAAACGGCCCCATTTTAAGGGCTAAAACAGATCTTTCTGATTTACAGTGAACTGTTTTATCATTTTATTTAAACAAGGATATGGCAAAACAAAGAAACAGTCATGGGAAGCAGTTTAGTCGCACAAGAAACAATGTCACGCCGATGCAAATCATTGCTTCCCTGTCGTAATAAAATACTTTTGGTTCCGGTCAAAATAACATTTGTTCTTCCAAGACCACAGTTTGCGTCCACGACGTATGTTTTCTATTTTATACAAAGAGGTAGCAAAGAGTTAGTTTGCTTCGTAAGGCCCTTAAAACCACGTATTGGTTCGGTAGCCTTTTTTTCTTGTATAACAAGTACGGTTTCAATAAAGAGGCGGCTACTTATGAACTTCTTGTATTTTCAGAGAACTATGGTTAAAATGCAGCATTTCTCATCTTTGCTACTTTCTCTAAAATGGACACGTGACTTGCAAAGAGCGGAATGTTACCGCTGACTCTCTGCCAGCGTACTGCAGCCGCATCATCTCCTGCCTGTGGACCAAAAAAAAAAAAAAAAACAAAGAAATAGAATTTTGTCACAATTTTTTAAGTCTATGAGAAAGACGTTTCCTTCACAAACTATATAACCAGACGTGTATGTCTACAGACACGCTACGCGACACTTCAGAAGAGAACAGTCTGAACAGGTTACTCACTTGCAATTTGAATTCACTGAACACTTCTCCAGTATCATCATGAAAATTCACTGCCACTGTCTCCATCCACGCGTTATCTGTGTTTCGCGGATCATCAACGTAACCTTTGTAAACCTGCAAAAGCATCATGATACCTGTCACGCATGCAAGGGAATTTTCGATTTGGTCTTTCGTTTGTCTTCCACGGGGGGGGTACTCAAAAGAGTTTTATACGGAAAGGCTCTGCCCCGAGGCCCAACCTTTTACTCTTTTATCACTCACCAGAAAAGTCAGACAGAAAAGTTACCCCTTTCGCATACCTTCTATTGACAAATGAAACGTTTTGACATGCCTAGTTTAGAACTTTCCATCCCTTTAAACTGCCGTAAATTCATTGTCTTTTAAATACCGTAAAATTCCGAAAATAAGCCCCGGGGATTAAATTTTTCAAAGGCCCTTTTTAAGCGGCTCATTTTTGGAGGGGCTTATATTGGGAGGGGCTTATCTAAGGAGGGAAATTTGAGTTTCAAAATTGATTGGGCTAGCCTTATAGTTGGAAGGAAATCTACTGTTTTTCTTTGTTTTACTTTGCATTTGAGGGCAATTTTCCAAGAACAAGCCCCCGGGGGCTTATATTTGGAGGTGCGATTTAACGGAGGGTTTTTTGCGTTACCGGTTTGGGGGGCTTATATTTGAAGGGGCTTATTTTCGGAACTCTACGGTATGAATAAATCACAAAACTAGAAAATTTTCTCGACTTTTCACAGCTATAAAATACATCTGTTAGCCCTTTTGGACCTCTTGACAGACCGAAATGACACATTTTCCTGTATCCTTTTATATACTTCAACTTATGAAATCCCCACCCTTTCATATACCCGAAGCCTGTAAAAGGTACCCCTTTCGGGCGGAGCCTCCCCGCATAGGCCATTATAAGGAATACAGTAAACTCCCGCTTATAACAACCAACCAACCAACCTTTTTTTAAGTCTGCGGCAAAACAGGTTCTTGTATTTTGGAGTACTTATTGGCAATTTAGGTTCTTATTTCTTATGAAGGAGATAATAGATTATTGATTACCAGAAAAATAAATAAGCTTTCTATTTATTCACAATTGCATTATCATAACTCTAACAAAACGGATTGACAAATTTATATACAGCTTAGTACAGTATGTTCTTGTTACACTTAAATTTACAACTCAAAGTTACACTCCTTTGTTAAATTGTTTATCATAATTTAACTGCAACCCACATAAAAGAACCTGCTTGATCTTGCTTGACTAAACAGGTTCTTGTATTTTTTGGGATATTAAAGTGGCAAATTTCTGCCAGGAGGTTCTTAATCAACAGGTTCGTATTAGCAGTGTTAACCGTAACTCCCGGGTTTATTCGTAACACTTTATTCATCACTGCTTACAGGCCTACTTTTACGATCATTTGTGTGGTTGGTTCACATTTAAAACTGATCGTAGGCGTGCATTGCTTTTAGGTTGACAGTAACATACAAAATAGTATCCTATTAATTTATGACTTTATCTCCGTCGAGTATCATTTGAGCAACAACTTACCTCAACTCCTTCTTTGAAGAGTCTTTCGACCAACACGCTAATCTTCTCTCTTTCGTCATCAGTAACACTAAGTTTTGCCATCGCTTCCTCCCCAAACTCGGCCTTCAAGGCTTGGGTCACAACTTGGCCTGGTTCAACCATACCCTGAACAATAAATAAATAAACACACACAAACTTATGCTTTTCACAGCCTCGCTAAAGAAACTAGTTTCCAGGCCCAAAAGCGTTTTCCGCTTTTAACTACAAAAAGAAACTCCCTTTTCCCTTTTAATTCTTACAGTGCGACTACTGTAACCGGGGCCACGTAGACAAAGTTGAGCAATCGGATTACAGGAAAATAACAATACATTCCAAGAAAGTTGGTTGTGGGCCAATCAGCAGCTTGTAAAAAAAAAAACAAACAATAAGTTACTCGAAGCACAAAACTTAAATATTGATAGCAGACGTTTTTCAAGAGAGCAAAATGTTTCACCAGACAATGTTTTTCTATTAGAAACTTCACATGTAACACACAGGAGACATATTTGTTTGAGACAAGCTGTTATTTTGTAATTTGCAAGCACTTTCCTCGCTACCATTGTCGCGCCTTGCAATAACACGCGACCTCAAGTCAAAATTATAACAAACGTTTACATTTTTCGCCTCTGTCACACACTCTAACGGACCTCTCAGGAAACACAGGCTTTCCTCAGCGCGTTCAAAAGGTCAAGTCTGCAGGTTGTTATTGTTTGATTTGGATCCATGCTGTTTATTTCGTTTCGCGGTAATCATAATTAACAACTAACTTTCTCGGAATGTATTGTTATTTTCCTGTAATCCGATTGGTCAACTTTGTCCAGGTGGCCCCGGTTACAGTATTAACAAACAACCGAATTGGCGCGGCTTGGGTCACTCAACCTTGACTTATGTGATCGCCATGCACGCGCCTTAGGTTTTTTTAGAAAGTTGAAAAATGTTTTCTAAAACTTATCGAGTGGCTATTTCATAAGCTGACAGAACAGTCGCTTGAGAAAGCGTCATTACTGTGTCAAATTGCACTGTGGGATTGTTTTAGGGATGTTGTCGCTTCTTTCATTGGATATTACCTGGTTGTGGAGGAAACTGGGTCAAAATTCGTCCCACGATGCAATTTGATACAACATCGACCCTGTCAAGTTATCACGTTACCTATAATGCATCTGCAGAGCCACTGCAGTGCGCTAAAAAGGTCGTAGTTTTTAAAATGATATTCTCTGGGTTCTTCAACTCCAAATGAAGTGATGGATAATTAAGTATTTATATTATATTTATATAGTAAGGTTTTATACATACAGACCTTTAGATTCTAAGACGAGAACGACGACGAGTACGTAGGAATACGCGAAAAAACCTCGTCAAATTTCGTACTCGAAGTCGTTCGCGTCCTCGAATTCAAAGGTCTCTATAGGGTAGATTGGCCACTGTAGAAGGATTGAGTAGCTGAAGTTTCGGGCGCCAGCCCTTAGAGCGAATCAGCGAGTGATCACGTGATGGCTTGCAGTAATTCAAACTTACCCCTGGTATGGCCCACTGGCTGTTATCCCTTCTCTGAATGGCGACAAACTCAAGAACTTTCTTGCCTCCATCCAGCATGACTCCGCCACTGGTTCGTTTCCACCTGGAATAAAAAGATGATGAGATTTGAAAGATATTGTAATCAGCTTCCACGGAAACAAAAAATGAAAGAAAGAAAACAGTAGAGCTAACAAAGATTTCATTTACCTCGTTACAATGGGATCAGCCGCATGATTAGGACCAAAACGTCCCAGGAGTCCTCGTCCTTTCATGCCCGTGCGTCCCATTGGGTTACTGGGGAGAGAAAGCAGCAGGTATTTTAGTCCTCTTGTAAAGGTTGAATTTAAAAGACAGCATTCCATCGTATAATCTTAATCGTAAAATGTGACTATGCAAATTTTAAACAACCAGTGGTCCAGTTCGCCGAATATATGCACTGAAGACACATTCTTACAAGGTCAGCCTCCAACTGAGGTGAAAATATTAACACATGAGCGCAATACTCTGTCTTTTGTTCATTTCACATTTCAGCTTCTCTTTTTTTACAGATATTTGTGAATATTTTACTTCAGGTCGAGGCTACATCTTTATTAATGTGCCATTGGTGCTTATATTCAGCGGTAATTTTACTATGAAAAAAATGGACTACTAATATACTGCAGAGGATGGAGCACCCTGCTAGCAGAGCCTTTCTTTCACTTGCTCGATTTTGGCCTACACGAGAAAGACTCTGCATGAATCAAATTTAGATCTTTGTTGAGCATGTGCTGCATGTTGCCGGGATACAGTTTCCAACCCAGGCCTAATATCCGTACGCATGCGCTTGGTACAGCGGTCTCAGTCATGACCAGCGGTTTATCAATAAACGGATGCTCGCACACAGAAAACCAGTTTGACGAGAGAAAACAAGAAGACCGGGCTTCGTTGACTTAAAGGGTTTGACGCGATTTAGGCAGTCTCATTTTTCTTCCTTACTCAAGAAAAAGACAAGATTAAAGAGAGGTTATTTTGGCAGTTGGTGACACGCTTTTGTGGCCGTTGCCGTTGTAGAGAGGTTTAAACAAGAGTTAATGTATGGACTGTCCGCCGGGACAAAAAACAGAGGCCTTTGCGGATAGGTGGCCGACTGTATAGAACAGTTGTTACAATGACAAAACGCAGTCGAAACGTCGGGATCAAGGACAAAGTGACTTTCTTAAGGCAAACGATAAACGAGTTTACCACTCTAAGTAAGAACACTTACAGCGGCAGTCCGTCTATGACGCGGTAAGGACCCATGTGACTTGCGCGGTTCACGCGATGTTCCTCGTCAAGCCTGTTGTACGCCAGCGGCGGTCGCACTGAAGGTATCCTGAAAAATAAAGGTAATATTCAGCGGGATAACGAACATATTGCCCTACAGAGTCGCCGAAGATTTACAGACGTTGGTCCATGGTCGCGGCAAGTTCGTCCCCCAACATACAAACGTCTGTAAAATTTCGCGAGTTTGTAGAGCAATATCTTCGCTCACGTTTAACGTATCATCCTTGAACGTGGTACGTTCCGTAATTTTAAGGCGCTCTTGCCAGCGGTATCAATGGATATTCGCTGACTGGTCTTCATCAAAACTTGAAAACAATAATCGTGGAAGAGTGTTATAAAATATTAATTAACAGGTTCATCTACAGTTGTCATAAGCATTTTACAGACTTACATGTTCATTAAATCAGTGTCAGCCCATGGGGGCTTTTTCAACACCACAGGAGCAGTGTAGTTTACAGGATCGTACTCTGGAAATTCTACCTGGTAGTACACAAAATGAAAAATAAATCAATTAAGTGTAATGTCAAATTAACACCACCTTCCACGACCACGCTTTATGGCCCGGGCAAAAGTCCTGTCATTTTGTTATTCGACAACCTCTTTAAACGAGCTGTGTCACGAAATTTATCAAAATTCTAACAGTAGGAGCTGCAAACAAATTGAATACAAAATAATCGCTCAAAACAATAAAGAAGGTATAAACAACAAAGCACAGAAAAGAGTAGGCAAGGACGGACAAACTTGAAGAAGATTAACACATAATAAAATTGTGAGGTTTTGAAAAACTGCTAGCCTAACAGTTTTTTTTGAGTTCATTTTTGTTGTTTGAAACGTTTGATATAAGGCTTAGGAAGTATCTTTGTTGGACAAGAAGCCGTGATTTTACCATTTACAAGTAATTTCTTCGTTAACGTTAAGTTCCATAACGCATAAGAAAGCGTAATTGGCAACAACAACAACACACTGAACTAGATAGCAGTGACACTGCAGCCCATTTAACATCTGGGAGATCAATAATTTTTTGCTCTTTTTTCCCCATGCCATTGTTTGTCTCCCGCCCTTTTCCCGCTTGGCTAAAGGAAAGAGATAGTACAGCTACGCAGGTTTAACTCTGCCAAGAAACAGATTAAAAGTATTTACTAAGAACGGGAAAGACGCATTCGAAGTGGTCCTTTCTCCGCTCATTAATAGCGGCAACTCTCCTCGGACATATATTCACTTACTTCCCAGGGCACGTTTTCATCCGGGACCGGGAATCTCTTCGCGGCGCATTGTGGGTAGGGTGTTGCTCGCGCCTTGTGATGAACAAATGCTGATGCCACTGGCCTCAAATCAAGAATGTTTGCAGGCGCAGGGTCTGCAAGAGAAATAGCAAAAAAATTACCAAATACGGGCTTCTTTCTTTGCCAGACGGAGAAACGGAAAGATGATGACAACGAAGGCTGCCTCCCATCTTTAGGGTTCAGAAATTTCTCGTAGTATTTAAAACAACAAGAAGTATTTTTATAAGTGTTTGGAGTGTTCCGAGCGCAACAAAAACAACAACAACAACAACAACAACAACAGAAAAACAAGTATTAAAGGAAAACTAATTGAATACCCCCAAAAGAAGAAATACCGTTGTAAAGAGAACGTCGGAAATGTGGATAAAACCAATAACATTTTTAACAAGCGGCTTATTCTCTAAAAATATAGAGTGCTGCTTTGAAAAGTCGTTTATATAATTCAAGCCTCTTAGATCCTTCCTGAATAGCTGTAACGATGCGTACAAATTTGGTTTGAGATTTGTACTCAATTTCACCCTCGTAGTCCAAGGCTCTGAAACTAAAACGGCGGAGGAACACGATGTCACCATTCGTGCAGCCACAAGGACTCTGAGGAGGGAATTTTGAAAACATCGGATAACCCAACCTAAATCACAGACGACATTTGCTGTTACTTACCCACGGGATTCGAAGATGTATTTTCAACCTACACAAAGTACGAAAAACAAGTTACTAAAATATTATATCTAGGCGAAGCGCCAGTGACTGCCCCTGAAATTATTTTCTGTTACCATTGTAAGTATTTTTCGTAAGTGCTCATAAGTCTAAGAAAATCAAAGCAATTCCTACTGAACTACAACTTTTATAGCGAAAAGTGAAGTCAGTGATAGGAATCAAAACAACAACATTTGACCCCACTCACCCCGGTGAGAATTCCACTCACCACCGCTGGATTAGATATCCAAACGCTATCACACATTTACCGTATTTATTCGATTAACCGCCCTGGGCGCTTATTAAATTTTTGGACCTTGAGGGTGGGCGCTTATTCGAGGTGGGCGCTTATTCGAGGCTGGGCGCTTATTAAATTTTCACCATTTTCAGCAAGTGAAGTATGTTTATTTTGCAACAAAACAAGAAATGCTAATAACAAAACGCGAGGAAGGAACAAAGCAAGATTTCTGTAAAATACTTTGAAGAAAACTCCGTCCTCGGGGAAGTCTCTTATTAGAATTTATTCACTCAAGAGGGTGGGGTGGGGGTGAGCGCTTATTTGAGTTTGATTGGGAGGAGGAGGGGGTGGGCGCTTATTCGAGGCTGGGCGCTTATTAACTTTTTCTGCCTTTAGTATGGGCGCTTATTCGAGGTGGGCGCTAATTCGAGGTTGGGCGCTTATTCGAATAAATACGGTAGTTAGGTAGCATGGAAGGAGTTTAAAGAAGGGGAAACATTACTGACGTTGAAACTATTATTTTTAAGTTATAAAAAAACTTAAATGGAAGGTCTGTAGTGAGGGGTCGAAATATATATCTTCGGGTTCAAAACAATGTCTTTGGTAGTCACAGCGCTCAATTTCTCAATGATCAACATAATCCAATACAGCTTTCATGGCGAGCGTTACGCTTCGACTCTCACTTCACTCATAAACCAACGCCTTTTCGCTACGCTGCTCAGTAGCTATACTGGCAACCAAAGTCTATAATTATTCCCTACCCTCTGATTATGAAGTAAATCAACCATGGTCTTGACAGTTTCAAATATGGAGGCAACGTTTTCTTCCATTCGTGCCAGTCTCCTCTCTAATCCTCCCACGTCACGTGTCGGCGGTCGCCACTCATAAGTTGGTTGTTGGGAAGTTGCTGGTGTTGTAGGAGATCCCTCGGCGTCTTCAGCGCTTGTAGTATCCAGGACACACTCCATCAAGCGATCAAGCTTCGCTGTCGCATCATCTAGCCTAATGATCAAAGGTAACTAAGGTTTCTTTCCTGATAGAGCGCAGAACGGGCTTATTTTTTCTCGTTTTTCGGGCGAACGAAGCACGAAGCTGGCGTGGAGCACGAGACACATGCGATAGGGGTCTCGCGCTCCTCGCCTGCCTTCGCTTACCTGAACAACGCGAAAAACCTGTTCTGCAGGCTTCTTTCGTAAAGATCTGGTAGAAATTTGCGCGCCCATGCAGTCAGAATGGTGTGTGTTACGTTCAGTGCATAAAACTGAATTTCAGGAATTTCTACCATCACCCGGGCCGGGTAGTCCCCTCAATTTTTCTAGGTGCTGTTGGCTAAAAAAAGAGCTCCTGGTAAAATCAACCAAGTTCTCCCTGAAAAACCACTTTTCAGGCATGACAATCTCTCATTTTGGATCTTCTGGGATTTTGATACCATTAAATAGCGAGACATTCCTGAAAGGCATATAATGACACATTTCTGCCACTACCTACCTATTTATTTATTCATTTACTTGTTTATTTATTATTCTTTGATGCAGAAACCAACTGAAAAACCCCTGTAAAGTACTGACAGTAGTCAGTGCCAGTGTAACCAATGTACTTTCAAAAGGAGGGGGAATTACGGGCCATCAACTCAAAAAAATATTATTTAATTTTTTTTTATTTTCAGGTTTGTTGAATAAGGTTGATACCTGTCTCCTAACGTGCAGACTCGTTTTTCCATAGTGTTATTTTCCTCCGCTTTTTTCGTATGCATGTAATATTCCGCACCTTGGAACTCCCAGTTCATCAACTGCTCTTGCTCGTAATCAGTAAGTGAGATTTCTGAAAAGACGAGGAACATTCTACCCCTTCAATACGAGAAATTCGGTCCAGCGATATATAAATTCGCAAAGCGTACTTTTGCGAGAGTTCTGAACACAAGATCAAATGTGTTTCACGGTGAACTTCAGCGCTATCCTTTACGACAAACAACCGTTCAAGTGTTGTGAACATTTAGCAGAATGCTGTTTTCACTAGATCGTAAAGTTCTACGCTTCTGATTACTACTCCGACTCGGACTCCGTCGCCAGTGAAAACCAGCCTTTAGGATAAATTTACGGATCAAATTTAGGTATCTGGGAAACTGCCCACCTACCCCTCCCCTAAGCCAACATTTTGCCCCAAGTGAGAACTAAGTGTTAACGTTAATTTAGGTGGGCGGGCACTTTCCCAGAAACATAAATGACAACTTACTCATCGAGCTGCCAGAAGGTGGATTGCCACATCGACACAGCTGCCAGATCCAACGTATAAAAAGCAGGATATGAGAGATGAAGATTAACGGTGGAAAAAACAGAGGTCTGCCGTGATACTCAGCGATCAGTTCGTAACGCTGAAACTTCCACACTTTATCTGAGTCTTCTTGAACCCGCTCAAAAGTATAACTAGAAATTAAAGAAATATTCAGAGTTTGTAATCATGTCCACTAGGCCTTGCCCCTCTCTGTACAGTCGTTTTTGTCATTTTTCACTTAACCACCAGGCACGCGTAGAAGTGGAGGAAAAGGGGTTACGTTCGAAAGAGCCGAAACGGGGAACGAAAGACGCCACGACGATCATGGCAGTTGTTGATGTAACTTTTGCAGAAAAGGAATCCTGAGAAACACATTTAATTCTTTGTACAACAGTTCTTGTACACGATTTCCATATACTCATCACTTTCTTGCGGCTGGGCGCTCGGTTATTGTTTTTAAGAAGGCCTCAGAGCTCAGGCATTATCCTATTCTTTTGTCACTGTCTAATCAATGTAAATATAATTGCAATAAGTGTGAATAAACATTTGAAACTGAGACACGCCTCTGATTATCTGAGTTGTGTTAATATCGTTTGGTAATTTGGCAATTTTTAATAATTTATGTGCATACGAGGGAAATTAAACTTACCTGAAAATGGCAATAAGAAGATTAAGAAGAAGAACATTTGTGAACAACATGTATCCAGCCAGAAGAGCTGGAGATAGCCACTGGGCAGTAGGGTGGACTTCAGCGTACTCAATGGGCTTTTGACCTAAAATAAGACAAACAGAATATCAAAAAAATTAAGCCTGAGAAAGCAGAGGACATTAGGGGACGCCCAGATACGCCGGGTAGGGCTTCTGATTGGTTGAAGCAATTTTTTTTGTTTTTGTTTGTTTGTTTTTTCTTTTTGTATGTGTACGTGTCTATTTCTTTATTTAACACATATGTAAATATTTTTCTCCGCAGGGCCAGCAACTTAGCACGACTAACATTTGCTATTTCAAAGTGGGTGTGCTCCTTATCTTGCTAACTGTCAACATGTAATTTAAACTCTTTTTTTTCTCCACATTACACTAATAAATATTGATTGTTGCAGTTGTTGTTGAACAACCTTCAATAAAGGAATTCCAGGATACTAGCACTACCCTCCGCGCGCCCCTCTCGCCTTCCCCCCACCCCGACCGGTAACACCCAGGACAGTTACCTGATATTTCCTCGAGGAAAAGCTCGCCATACATTTGCCAGTAAGGTAAGTCTACTATTCCTCGTAAGACTTCCCAGAAGCCCCTTTGGAACTTTCCGGGGCCTGGGAACGACACCGCCTGCAGTGCTATTCCATAGGCAATGATGAATATGAGCAAGATGAACACAAACTGTTTTAAATCTTCCAACTGCCGTGAGAAAGAATAAAACAAAATAAGATGACAAACCCGTTACTGAATGACTTCGAATAACTGGGGCCAGAGCAAAGCCAGAGCCCCATAGTTAGGAAAAATGGGACCAGGGGCCCGTTTCTCGAAAGTCCCGATAATTAAAGGTTGTTGTTTACATGCAAGGTAGAGGTTTCAGCAGTTTTGCATCTAACATGATAAAACTATCAGTTAATGAAACAAAATGGAGTAGTTTGCTAGCCAGGACCCGCGCTCTTATTCTTCATATTTCGATTTGAAAATTTGATTTCGGGCCCGAAACGTTACCGGGGCTTTCGAGAAATGGGCCCCAGGGCTTCCTAATCCTCTCCCCAAATGAGGCCAACAGAACACAGATTTTTTACCACGGCATGATCGCATACAACATTCACCTGCTAGTAAGTTTATCAACGAAGGTTTCCAAAACACCTCGCCTGTTAGCCATAACGTATACGCTGTATTTTCATTCGTGCATCTGAATAAATGAATGAATGAACAAAAACGAACTATCCAACGAAAGAATGAAAAAATGCGATGTAACGAAAACATGAAAGCGTGTGAACAACGAAGAAGTGTGGAAGTTTGGACCCCTCCCTCAAACCCCACCATCCGCCCATATCCTTCCTTAAATTACTTTACGGCTTATTCGACGTCTATTAACCAGTCCTTCTCTGAATTTCTCTTAAGAGTTAAAGGAAAAATCAACATTACCATAGAAAAGTGCTGCCTAATAGCCCCTTGTCATCTGTGTCGAAGACTACGAACTGTCTCTTTTTTTTCTTAGTCAGTCAAGCGAAACGCGCTGGACACGAAAATGACAACGCGCGGGCTGCCGCCCTCGTTCCTCGCGCGCGTCCTCCCCTTACTAAATCTGAAGAAAAGAGAGAGTGCTCGCTGCCTAATTTCGTCGTAAGTTAAAACACCATGACTAATGAATCCTAAGGCATAGTTTAACCAGACATTTTAAGTTGACACAATTCGTTTTGTCCATGTATTCTTACCATTTTTCTGATCATGACAAGTTTGGGACCGAGCTGCCTGTTGACGGAGAGAATCTGTAGCGATCGCACAATAAATACAATAATATTCAAGGAGAGAATTATCCGGGCAGCTTCAAACGTTGAATCAAAAAATCGCAGGAAGACGGCAACTACAAAAGCAAGCAGGGAAAACGTGTCCACTACATTCCACGTGTCACTGAAATAGACGCTGAGTTTGTCGCCAAAGCTCTTGGGCTGTTGAGACAAGAGCTGAAAAAAAAAACACACACACACACACACAATAGGAATAAGACTTAAAACATCAAAAATATAGGTACGTCAATAAGTCGTTTGTTAGTTACCGATAACTATTGACTTGGATTCAGCAGCGATTTTTTAGAAGAGTGGAAGAAACCTATCCGATATGTGACGATCTACCTTCAAGATCGGCGCGGCACAGCTTCGCCTCGTTACAGAAATCACGGCCGAAATCACCGCTCCTTGTGTGTCAACAGTGGCCCTACTGATTTGCTCGAATAAGCGCCGCATTTGCGACAAAAAAAAAAAAATAATAAAAACGAAACAAAAAGGAAGCCCGATAACATCGAAGTCAAAATGCGTTAATGTTAGTTTACTACGAAAAATAATAATAATGATAATATTACCGTACTTAAAACAATTTTTTGTCGCGTCCAACTTTCAAGTAAACGTCGTCCTCAACTAAACGCCGCATTTGAGGCATGAAAAGCGCCGAGCGCTTATTCGTGTAAATACGGTATTCGCTATGGTTTCCGAAACGACGCAACAGCTATCCAGTATAGGGGTGAAAATAATGTAGTGTAAACACCAGTAGAGTAAGAACACAATACAGTGTGCACACAAACCTGTCTTATTTCCTCTAAGATGATTGTAAAGATCCAGAAGTAAAGAATAATTTCCACCACACTCAGACCGCCAAGAGTCGCGTTAGAGTCAAACTTTGGGAAGTACATTGTAATGACGTAAGCATAAAGCACTATGAATGCTATGTAAGACACCTGCAATAATAACATGGAATGACATCAATAAGAAATTACACAGCATTTTACTTTTATGACTTTTTTTAAAAAACAGGAGACATGAACGCTGTCAGTTTTGTAGTATTTTCAATTGAAAACTGGGAAAAAGCGATTACGTTATATATTCCTTTTGTTTGTAAGGCTTCGAACAGAAAATTATTGCGGAAGCATGCCTTAAGACCTCATAATATATCGAATTCATTTCAATACAAGTTACATGGAGCTTATCTTATATCCGGAGGAGGGGGCGAGGTCTTATAATCGGGTGTGAATTTTTGAAGATGGGGCTATAATGGGGGGAGAACTTATAAGAAGGGGAGAGAGGGGGAGCTTTTAAGCGGCAGTTTACGGTATTTTCAAAAACAAAAAGAATTATAATTATTAGAGCAGTTACCAAATTGCCCATGAACTTGGTAAAGGGCGCGGCATAAAATGAATCAATTCTTTCCCAAATGGTCATGTCTTTAGATCGCATTATAACTTCCATGGCGTTATCATCGTGAAGCTCTGAAATGAAAAGGAAAACAAAGTCATCTTGGAAAAACCAACAGAGAAGAGTGGAGCAGAAGAGTTACACACCTTTCACAGTAATATTATAAGTATTAACAGTATCTGTTCTAGGTTAACAAGATTACAATTGAGAAAACAAAAAGGATGTTTTGCAACAAGCGGAAACGAACGCCTATCGCAGAGCAAGCACCAACTGAGGCTCGAGACATCATAAACATTGACCATGTGTAAATAATTGCCGTTCTAAAGGTGAAAAAGGTGCTCTTATGCATACGTTAGCGTCCCCCGAGGGGAACGGAAGGGGGCTGTTCTGGCATCAAAGAAACCTTTTACCCAAAATAATATCAACCCTCGTTTCCACGGTGTTTTTAAGAAAATTTGAATTCGACAAACACGAAATCTTTGGAAAAGAAGTTTAGACAGTTTGTGCTGGATTTCTTCGGACCTGGCTCGCTCACCTGGAATATAGTCCACGACATCTTCAATATCAGAACCTACATGAGATTCCTCGTCAGTAACAGCGTTTCCATTAGCGGTGTCAATCTTCTGAAGTTCAACTCCTCCTCCTCCTATTCCTCCATCAGCTCGTTCCCGCCCAGCTCCTATACCCTCTTGACTTCCTCTCCCCACGTTTCTTATACTCTTACTGGTCAAACTCTTTTGCGAGCGTCGCGCGGCTGCCTCGCGCTCGTGATGTTCGTCAGGAACAAAATAAATTAGTGGGAAAATGAGAAATGGGATAAAAGTGCAGATGATGATCTGGAAGAGACAAAACAGACAGCCGTTAAAGGTTAAAAGGTTAAAGGTTTTTTTAATTGATGGCAAGTGCACTTAGTCTACTTAGTTTATCCAGCTAGTTTAATCTCTTATCTTTTATCTTTAATTGATATAATTGCCTCTAGCAAGCTAATCTGGGAAGGAACGGTCAGTACATGGAAGCTCATGACATTGACAGCGAGATAAGTAAACAAAATGAAAACAAATAACTAAATTTATACTACTACAGGAGAAATTTCTGCAATTTGATTGGCTTAGAGCAGTAGTATTTCAGCGTAATTTGAAATACCTACATGTGAAAATTACAAACCTTTTGCGGGTAGTAATATAAACAAATAATAGCATGATTTGTAACTGATATTTGGCATAAATACCACTCGTGATATTTCAAAATTGTCTCAAATTACGTATAACAATTTTGAAATATCACTCGTAGTATTTATGCCAAATATCATTACAAATCATGCTATTACCTATACTAACTTCATTCACACTTCTTCGATTTAAGTCTAATAGCTTACTTTCTAACTCGTGGTACCCTCTGATCCAAACCCCTTTTAACCTCACCGTATCCCCAAAGGTAGGTACAGTTTTCTCACAATTCATTATCACGATCTCGTGGTCAAGGCGTCTAATCTTCCAGCCGAAGTTGTGTAGTTAAAATAAATTACAGCTGATACCCACCCATTCATCCCTACCGAACGACAACGCCCTACTCTCGTACCTTACCTCATCCCAACCCTACCCCTATGGGACTGTCAAAGGCAATTCTCACCACCGTATGTTCATGTTCATGGCATCCATCCAGGGTCGGGTGAGTAACATGTGGTATCTACTCACCCACCCGCTTCTAATCCTACAGAGTTCCAATCACATTTCCCACCTCACCCCACCCTAACCACCAGGGATTACAAAGTACAATTCTCTTACCTTCCACCACCTTGTGTTCATGGCCATGGTTCCCATCCAGAGTCGGGTGAGTAATTCTTGACAGCTGACATGCGCAATAAAGTTTTGATCCTCGGCCATCACGGCCAGATCGAGCGCTGTTAGATGACCAAATGATTCCAGTTCCTTCACCAGCAGGGTCTGTGATAGAGTTTCGTTTTCTTCGTAGCACTCCTGTAGAACGCCAATTGCGTCCTGTTCAAATTCACTACAAGGTTGACACAGACAAAATAAGCTAGGTCAAGGGGCCTCAATAAGGCGAAGGCACACGGAGCAAAATTGTCTGCAATAGGCTGATTTAGCAACAGGACGCGAACGTCAGTTGACAACGGGAAAGCGCGTGGAAAAGACTAAACACGACTTCCGGTGTTCAATTTGCCGCTCTGCAATTGGTCAAGACAGTTGTTTGATTTGCGCGGGCCGTTGTCAACTGACGTCCCCGTTCTGTTGCTGGACAAAGCTACACGCTACAACATTAGAACCCTTCAGATTCCAAGACGAGGAGTGCACTTGCGTGATTCAGGGTCCTTTTGAGGGGAAAACGCGATAGCATAACAAATGCGACCTTTGTTACACTTGGGTCCGAACGTTATTGCAGATAGAACCTTTACTACGCTTAGGTCCAAATGTTATTAAAGATGGGAACTTTATAACACTTAGGTTCAGTTATTACACTTGTTGTTCCCGCCCAGTTTTTTGGTCAAACCCCGGATCCCGAAAATGCCCATACAAGTACAGAGCCTGATCTTACAATGAACTTTCCCTGGCCCGGCGCATTCATCCCTGTATGATACTCACGCAGCACTTTCACACAACTCAACACTGATGTCTGTGATGGTGTCATCAGAAGCTGATTTTGAAGCCATAGACTTGAGAAGCCTGGTTGCCATGAGAGCACTTGGGATTTGTTCACGGCCCATAATCCACATCAGTTTAGCCATAGCTATCCTGTTACTAAGGACCGCCCAGATGAATACGTCACGAAACGGTCTCTTAAGCGGATCAAAGGTCTGAACAGGGTTCACTAGAAAGTAAACCGATCAGCAGTAATTTTTCAATGAAATAGGTAATAAAAGGAAGAGTTTGTCTTTGAAAAAATAGAAGAGGTGGAAATCATGGCCAGTTTAAGAAAGATTAGCATGTGTACAATCTCCTCCTCCCCTCAAAAAAAAAAAACAACAACAACAACAACAAAAAGAGAGAGCTCCTCTTCAACTGGAGAGATGACAAGACATTTTAAATTCTACTCAAATCTGTACAAACATTGTCCAATTTCTGTCACACATGTGATCATGGTTGAACTTAGATGTTTTTAATTCATTCATTAAATTATATTAAAAAAGGTGAAAGTATCTAAGCAATGAGAGCTTTGTATAGAAGGTAAGGAATAGTGGTACAATTTGCCTTAAAGTAATGTAACGGTATCACTTACCAAAAACAAATGTATCCAGGCTAGTTTTGCGGGATTTCTCAGTATAAAGAAGGTATCGTGGATCTCGAAGATAGAGACTATGATACGAATCTCCCATCAGATTCTCAATCACTTCACCAACAATGGACATGTTAACTTCTTTCACATTCTTTTTACTCTAAAAAACGAAGAATGGCTATATGTTAGGCAAAGAACGTCCGACAAAATCTACGACCAGGACCTACGAACAACCTGGTTCAGCTTTATAAACAGAAAGAAGAATGGCCACAGTTTAGAACTTTCTTAAAATCAAAAGACAAAAACAAAACAAAACAAACCAACTGTTGTTGAAGCAGCGGCTTAATAACACTGTTGTTTGGAACCTGAAAAAGCGAATTTAAACGCCGATCAGTCACTATTGACGATTCTAGAAAACTGTCCCCACCTACCCCTCCCCTATCCCACATTTAACGCTAACGTTTCAGGTAGGGCAAAATGTTGGGTTAGCGGAGGGGTGGGTGGAAAGTTTCCCCGAAATGTTCTACTGATCCCTTTATTGCATAAAACTGATTAAGTGTTTTCTCAAGAAATAAACATGAAGGAAACTAAGGCTGGGTCTACGCTATACCGGACAGCTTTACGTGTAGACGTGAAAAAATACCCAGTGTAGTACGAACATAGCCTAATAAAAGGGTCAGGACACGCTATTGTCTCAATTTTTGCCTTACCTATATCAGAATTAAAAACTGTTTAAAACAGTACAAGAAATAGGGAAATGTCAACAAGGAGCACCGGTGGGCAAAAACATTGGATTGCATCTCAGTAAAGCTAGAAGAGAGTGGACAAGGGATCCTCCAAATTTGCTATGTGGCAAGCAATAATTTGTCAATAAAAAGCGTTTCATTTTTCAGCAATTTAACTTCAACCTTGATGCTCCATTGTCCCTTTAAGCATACCCTGCGACTTCTGTTAAATTTCTCACTGTTATTTCATGAGGTACTTACCCCAGTATACAATTGACATAGGATTTGAGGAGTAAGAAATTCCCTCATGCTCAGCCCGTTCCTTAGAAAGAGTTCTACAAATTCCGTCTTGTCATCAAGTAGAGCTGCCAGCATGGGGTCCCTCAGGCTCTCGGTCTACATACAGCAAAGCAAAGAAACAGCCACTTTAAGTAACAGGTTAATGCTGCTAAGCCTATTTCCCTTTCGTAAAAGGTCGATTCCACCATTGCCAACCAAGCCTTAAGTCATAACATTACACTATACAAAACAATTCAATACCCTTTATTTAACGTGGTCAATGATCTTAGCTAATTAGCTACTTTACAGACATGCCACGACAAATAAATAAATAAATAAATAAATAGAATAATAATAATAATAATAATAATAGAAAGAGAAGATTTCTAATTAAAAACCTAGTCATTATGGATGTAATGTCTTCCCTGGATTAAGTTCCAATAAGGGAGATTTCCAGTGTCGCGTAATTTTTATGTTTGTACGTGCGTAAAATTTACGTTCGCAAATAAAATAGAGGCAATGCATGAAGGTCAGTCGTAAGCGTAAAAGGTGAACCTCGCTCAACTTCTCGTTTAAGTTCAGCACGTTTTATCTGCCTCTGTTTTATTTACATAATTAAAATCTATGTGCGTTAACGTGCGTAGCCAAAAACGCGCTCAACTTCTCGTTTAAGCTCAGCACGTTTTATCTGCCTCTTTTTTATTTACATAATTAAAATCTATGTGCGTTAACGTGCGTAGCCAAAAACGCGCTCAACTTCTCGTTTAAGCTCAGCACGTTTTATCTGCCTCTATTTTATTTACATAATTAAAATCTATGTGCGTTAACGTGCGTAGCCAAAAACGCGCTCAACTTCTCGTTTAAGCTCAGCACGTTTTATCTGCCTCTATTTTATTTACATAATTAAAATCTATGTGCGTTAACGTGCGTAGCCAAAAACGCGCTCAACTTCTCGTTTAAGCTCAGCACGTTTTATCTGCCTCTATTTTATTTACATAATTAAAATCTATGTGCGTTAACGTGCGTAGCCAAAAACGCGCTCAACTTCTCGTTTAAGCTCAGCACGTTTTATCTGCCTCTATTTTATTTACATAATTAAAATCTATGTGCGTTAACGTGCGTAGCCAAAAACGCGCTCAACTTCTCGTTTAAGCTCAGCACTTTTTATCTTGCCTCTATTTTATTTACATAATTAAAATCTATGTGCGTTAACGTGCGTAGCCAAAAACGCGCTCAACTTCTCGTTTAAGCTCAGCACGTTTTATCTGCCTCTATTTTATTTACATAATTAAAATCTATGTGCGTTAACGTGCGTAGCCAAAAACGCGCTCAACTTCTCGTTTAAGCTCAGCACTTTTTATCTTGCCTCTATTTTATTTACATAATTAAAATCTATGTGCGTTAACGTGCGTAGCCAAAAAAACGCGCTCAACTTCTCGTTTAAGCTCAGCACGTTTTATCTGCCTCTATTTTATTTACATAATTAAAATCTATGTGCGTTAACGTGCGTAGCCAAAAACGCGCTCAACTTCTCGTTTAAGCTCAGCACTTTTTATCTTGCCTCTATTTTATTTACATAATTAAAATCTATGTGCGTTAACGTGCGTAGCCAAAAACGCGCTCAACTTCTCGTTTAAGCTCAGCACGTTTTATCTGCCTCTATTTTATTTACATAATTAAAATCTATGTGCGTTAACGTGCGTAGCCAAAAACGCGCTCAACTTCTCGTTTAAGCTCAGCACTTTTTATCTTGCCTCTATTTTATTTACATAATTAAAATCTATGTGCGTTAACGTGCGTAGCCAAAAACGCGTCAGTGGAAATCAACCTTAAGGCAAATAATACGTTTTTGAATAGTCTTACAAATAACGAAGTTGAAGCCCAAGTTGAATTTATGTTAAAAGTTATGGAAAGGGCTAGGGTCACCTTTTATTGATGTAACAGTTAAGAAAGACAGTTCGCTAGTTTATTTATTTAAATATTTCGGAATTTTGGCGGGTCAATGAGGTAGTGTAGTGGTAAGGGAAAGAGAGTGGGATACGACAGGTCAGGGTTTAATCCTGGGTTGCGATCGTCTTTCTTTTTCATAGAAACACCCTCAATAAGAGGTCAAATCAATACGAATAAAATATCTTATTATCTACAATTGGGGCTTTTCAGCGATAATTTACAACACTGCGTGGGGTACTTTGTCCGAATGCTTGTAGGCGCAAGTTGAAGTTTGCAAATGAAGTAATGAGCTATCGATGCATCACAGAGAGAAGGTAAAGTGATATAAACACTAGGGGTTACGACAGACATTTGGTTTATGTTCTTGGTGGTTCTTTCACGTCTCAGAGTAAGTACTGTCAGGGTTGGGTTCGTATAGATTTTTAGATCCAAAATTCAAGACTTTTTCCAGACTTTTTTCCAAAACGATAATTTCTTTTTCCAGACTCAGGGTTATCGAATAGCAAGCTGATCAACAGAGACCTTGAAAAATATAGGAACAAAGCTTTTTCGTGATGCAAGCAAACGTACAGTAACCACCGTGCAACGTGAATATCTTGGATACGGGCGAGATAGAATAAGATTTGACCACGGGAAAAACTTCACTCACTATGCACTAGTTGTAGCTTTGAAAAAAGCACCAGACTTTTTACCATTTTTCCAGACTTTATCGCTATTTTCCTGGATGTTCTTCCAGGTCTGGAACATTACTTTGCAAATTTCAAGACGTTTTCAAGAATTCAAGACTCTTTACGATTCATAGTAACTGTGGATGCTAGCCTGGGACCAGGTTCCGCAGTAAGGGGAAACGGCAAAAAAACGGAGAGAAATAGCAAAAAAAAAGGCGAGCGAAGCCACCATTTCCCTTTCCCAGACTATCGCTCGCCTCGATCCACTCGCCTGTCTTTCATTTTACGCCGCCTTTTCCACCCACTGCGGGGCCGGGTCCCAGGCTATGTGAATGCACACGATGGTTTTTGGTCCTTATCCGAAAAGACACCAGATGGTGTAACCAATCACACAAGTCAAAGCAGGAAAGCCGGCAAACATCAAAGTTGAAAACAACGGTGCTGCAGTTTATGTTGGAAGCTCCCTGACCGTCTACAATCCTTTGTTTTTTGTTCACAAATTATGACTGAATAAATTAATGTAATGTTTCTATTGGTCAGTAAGTTCAAAATGATAGGAATGCTATTGAACGTTGTGCACGTCAGGTCCAAAAAAGCTAACAAAAACCTATTACAAAGGGTTTCCCTAACATTCCACTTTGATTAACTATGGTTATATAAAGATCCTGAGTGTTGGTCAGGTCGAGAATTGAGTCCCGGCGTACCCCTCCCCAGCAGGATACCAACCAACTGAGGTCAAATTGCATGCTACATCAAGAGACGATTAAAAAAATGTTCACTTGAATTCAACCAAGAAACGTTTCACCCCATGTAAGGGAATGAGGAAACAGGAATCCGTGAAATTTTTGCTTGTGGAATTCGGAATCCTGGGCTTTGGAATCAAGGAATTCCGGAATCCCACTAACGATTGGAATCCAGTATCCAAGTTCCACTGACAAAGACTGGAATCCAGTACCTGGAATCCGAGATCCGTGGCGTGGAATCCAGGATCCAAGACTTTTCCTGGGTTTCCTTACATGTGGCGAAACGTTGCACGAGAATGAAAGCAACAAAGTGTAGAACTTACCGTCCAGTGTGTTTCGTCTGTAAAGATTTCACTTTTGGCCACATCAATTCTGTTCCACGCCAACGCCAAATTTAACTGCATCAACTGACTGGACTTGTTTGCTGTCAAAATCAGAAGATGTTTTTTAGCATCAAGCTAATTAAGTTGTTTTAATAACAAGCGATGTTCTTCAGCTTAGTTTAATCAAAATGTGCGAAACAGGACCCCAATGTACCTCGTTGTAACGAACAGATTATCCCAGACGCTTTCACAGATTTAGCAACAAAGGCGGTGATTAAAGCGTTAAAAGGTGTCTCTAATAACACGAATTTGTCGCCATTAGCCATGCCTGCTCCACATGTCCTGAAAAACTGGCGCCTGTTACGCAGCGTACATATATTTGCATTGAAGATGGCTTATCTGGAAATAAATTCAGTCTCACCAAATGCGCCCAAGATAAGAAAGAGTTAAAATAGGTCGTCGAGTGTTTGCGTCCTCCATAACCTAAACGTTTATTAGAGAACTTCACGTCACAGTCGTGCTAGCCCGCGTTGTCGTTAGACTTGTCACTTGAGACCTAGATACCCGGGGGGGCTACTCCCATATATGGGCTATATAGGTACGTGCCGCGGAATAGGGTATGGTTTTTGCTGTTCTCAGTCCTTAAATAGGGTATCTTTTTTGACCCTTTTGTTTCTGTGTTCCTGGTGTGGTCCTTAGATAGGGTAGCTTAATTGTAGTATCTAATACTGGAGTGTGAAAACGCCCGCCTAAACGAACATTTTTTTTTAAACTAGGCTTATTCTAGTATTTTATGCTTGATGCTATACATCCAATGTTACAGAGAAGAAATAAAGTTTTCCTTTCTATACTATTAATAATTTTGTTTTTTCCTTGAATAGGGTGTCAATTTCGGCTTTTGGCCTTAGAAAGGGTATCAGTTTTCGCTTTCTTAATCCTTAAATAGGGTTAGGGTTCACGAACCTTTGCGGCACACCCCTATCCAAAATTTGCGGGAGTACACCCCCTGGGCCTAGATAGAGAACTCGATGCGACGCAGGCTAAGTTCGAGTAGCGGAAGGCAAAAAATGTATGGGTAGAGTTGTTGTTTTGTTTACAAAACATATTAGTTCGTTCTGGACGTTCTCGTTGCTGTCGCCATCATCGTTGCTGAATCGTTGCTAAAACGTATCTTCGCATCAACTGAATAACAAAAATAATGGTACAGCTTTGTTCTGTAAGACAATATTTAGGCACTGAAACTTTTTCCTGTGTCTTTTGCTACGGATGGCAAGGATAGACATGGATTGGGACTTGAAAAAGTCGGCGTTTTACTGCTATGCCTACAAAAATCCCGCCCCCCCAAATTATCATGGTTACGGCCCGAAATTTGTTTCAGATCTTCTTCATAACTCTAAATGAGTATTTTTTGAATGAGTATAGGTACTAAGCAATGACTTCGGCAAAGAATTAACCTTCCTATTTATATTCACGAAAAAGAGACGGGACTGGGTGAACAGCTCGAACTGTGAGCCCGAGTGTTTATTGCCGTCCAAATAACATACAAAGTTCAACATCATAACTAAAGAATGGTAGACAAATATTCCTTAATAAAGTCACTCAGGCTAAACAGCTCACATCCGCCGCCTGATACGAAAACCTAAAAACCCAAAGGGAAAAAAATTGGGAACGTATTCCCCAACCGATGAGGTCGCACAACCTCTGGGGGTTAAAGGTAAAAAATCAATCGATAGATGAATAAAGTAAGATATAAAAATATAAGTTGATAGTTCGAGAGCTGAGATGAATACATTACAACTGTCAAAACCTTATATACCCAATAACAATAGAGTCAATTAACGCCATAGCGGCTCACGTGTGTTCATACCAATAGGAAAGTATTTACGTTGTCTGTCATTTGCCTCCACGTTTAGCTCAGCCGAATGTAAACACATAAAACAGGGATATCCTCGTGACATAGCTGCTTTAGGTTGCCTATTATATGGCAGCCACCAGGTACCATGCCACGCTAACTAAATAACCTACTTCTAACCTGTTTTGCTATCTCTCTGTCTGGATCTCACTTCCTTTTCTAACCTACGTTCAAGAAAAAGCACCTCGCACGCATCAGCGAAAAAACCAACTGGGTAAAGAATTAATTCACGTTCTAAGACATGAAGCCAGACAAACTAAGGAACAACTCAGCTGAACATACCTTTCAAGAGGGCTTTCAAAATTGCAAGATCAATCTCCTGAGATACTGTGTTGGTCTCATCGTCAAGCCTGTATATTGAAATCTGAAGCAAACGCGACAGGATGAGTTTAACATAGTAACAGGGCTTGAAAAAAATCCCGTCTGTTAGCCTGGGACAAGTAGATTTTCTTGCTGGGCGAGTAACTTTTGTAGCTCACTTGCCCAATGGGCAAGAGTTCAGGCAAGACATTCTCTAACAAAATCATTAACAAGACAAGTAAGAAGTCAAGTGGTCCTAAGCAAACAAAATGTGAGAGCTGCTTGCCCAGAGGACAAGCTGTATGGAATTCAAGTATTTTTGGAGCCCCGAATAAAACCTTTTCCAAAACAATGATCCAACTTTTCCACGATCTTCATGTCTCTCTTGAATAAAAAATTATTGCAAGAAAATATGACATGCACATAGTTTAGTGGCCTTAGCTCGTACGAGTCTCCTGCAACTCAGTGGTAGAGCATCTGGACTACGAGTGACAAGAAGGTCATAGGTGTGACTCGCATTGGGAGTCTAGCCTGCAGTGCAAGCGTTTTCTTTGGGCGCGCGAAGGTAAAGAGTCCTTATTTTACGTCAGTAGCTCGAAATGGTCATCTGACCAACAAACCCGAGACCGATGGTGCGCTCATTTTACACCCCCCCGGTCCCCCTCTCTCCAACAGTGCGGCTACGTTTAACGGGTATTTAAAGCTACTTAAAGCTGCACGGAAAGGAAAGGAGTGGAAAGAAGGATTTGACGTCACAATCGAACTGGGGATCTCCCGCAGAGAAAGCTGCGCACTAACCAACTGCGCGAAACCTTCCGTCTTTTTGCTCGCGAAAGCGCCATGCTGCTATTTCTACTCTCCCCAAACTTCCTCTGTCTTAAATCAAAGATGGCGGCTACAATAATACAAACAAAAACAAGCAGTTTTCGCCCGCCCAAAACACACCTGCACTGCAGCCTACTGGGAGTCTTTCTCAAAATGTTTATACTAGTAGTAATCTCAGATTAGGAAGTGCGTTCGAGCTTTTATAGGTTTACTGTCAAATGTAACGTTGTTTCCTAATAAATTGATACTGCAAAACGCTTCCTATATGTTTTTTTAAAAAAGAAACAAAACAAAACAAAGCGACTACGAAAAAAAGAAAAAAGTCTCATCCGCCAGGAGTCGAACCCAAGACCTTGGACGTGTAAGGGTAACGCATTATCCATTGCGTCACGCAACCATTGCTAAGATCGTATGTCAAATTAATTGTATTTAACATTCTTGTGCCCGGCAAGATAAATTATTCAAGATGGCGCAAAAAGTGCAGACGTACGACGAAATGAGTACCACGAAAGGTCACCCTTGAGTACCATAGGAATCTCAAGATTATGTGTTGCAAGTACAAGTTGCTCACCATTTTTTCGTCCTCGAGCACTTGTTCAATCATCTGGTAATGTTTACTGACATCTTCCGGCTTCATAAAGGGGAACACTTCTGCCACCTTGGCTCGTACATTGCCTTCAAACGCTGGGTCGATGATGTTGATAGCGGTTTTTCCTTCACTAAGTAGTTAACACCAAATGATAAGTTTGTTTAAAATAAATAAAAGACAATTCACACCTCAGGTCAATTATGAGAAACAATTCACATTGTAAGAGTGTAAACCAAACAGAACGCTACGCCAAAAAACTCAACCAACCAAAAAAAAAACAAACATTTTAAGCTGCGCGGGAAATCTTGCTGTCCGGGCAACGAAATACAAACGGTCAAATATCATGCAACTCGCGCAAAATATGGGAAAGGTGAGTTGGAAAACAAGCATATACTCAAGCGCAGTTAAAAAAAAAACAGCAACAAGCGGCAAAATCATAAGCTGCGGCCAATGTGGGAAAACAAGTCCCTGATAAATCATTGACGTTCAGAATTTGGTGATGACAAGCATGGGGTAAATACAGATAACGTTAGAAAACTAAAAGTGCTCGAGAACAGGTGCACCTTTGTCTCCTTCGCAGCCGTTATTAGGATCATCACGCCACGCTCCTCCCAAGCGGGGAAGAGCGTTGCGTGACGACCCTAATAACAGCTGCGAATGACCATTAGAAAAGTTATGGGGGGGGCGGGGAGGGGAATTTTCGAGCCGCAGGAATTTTTTTTCGTTATCAAATTCCTTGTATGAATTTTTTTTAGGCCATAGCATGAATATTTTTTAGGGTTAATTGGCGTGCATGAATTTTTTTTTCATTTAATTTTCCCTTGCGCGAATTTTTTTTTTTTACTTCGCCCCCCCCAATAAGTTTTCTAATGGTCCGTCCCTAAGGTGCACCATGTGCGATGACTGGTATGGGAAATACGGAATCGGTATACATCAAGCGTGGGGCGGGTGCAAATAGACAAAAAACAACCACAACAACAAAAACCGAAGAAACATATTACTTGATCGAAGAATAAAATCAATCAAAAGTTGACTGGCGCGTTCCCAGTAACGAACGATCCCAGATTTGCCCACAAGTCGAGTTCAAAATTTTTCTCGAGCGCAAAGCGCGAGCTGGAAATTTTTTAAGTTTTCGGTCTTCACTCTGGGATTTACAAAGATGGCTATGAATGCTCACCATTTTTTGATGGTGTGGCTGTAAGCATAAGCAACCACATCAGCGGCTCGACCACTACCGTCTACCACCACTGCAGGGATTTTCTTTTTAATCAGTTCACACATGGTACGGACTGTGTTTGGTCCACCTTCTAGTACTAACAGTACCACAGGTACACCAATCGCACCTGTAAAAAGATTAAAACCACTGTCCATAATGGCTCTTGCGAAAAACAATTTTGGCAGTGCATAAAAAGATATGTTTATAGTTGAGTTCAGTTTATATGAATTCCTTATATCTATCTATCTCACAAAAATGTGTACTGCCCACAGTTAATTACAGCTGGTCACTACTGCCAAATTGTGGGTAAGTGGGGTGGGGTTGGCTTGGGCGGGAGTGGAGAGGTGGGAAGGGGGAGTCTTGTAAAGCGTGGTTCCCGAGCCGATCTGTGGCCATTTTATGGGTAAACTAGTTCTAATAAAACCTATAGAATGGCCATAATTCGGCTTGGGACTACACAGGAAAGAAGTAACACACAGCTGAAGAGAGGTTACAAAAATAACTTTTTTTCCCCATACAAATCCTTACATTATGAAGCTTACACAACAGTGCTAGGGTCACCCGTGTTTTGCATGGTTATATTCATGTTTCACTCATATTAACTGGCATTTCCCACCGTAAATTTTGATAAATTTCATGACACAGCTCTTGCACTTGTTCTACTGTACCTGCAGCCGATCTAGAGTCAGTCTTAACCTTCATCACAGCCTCTTCAAATCTTGACCGTAAATCAATCTCCACACCGTATTTCCCTTCGGTGCCATTATCAACCAGTAAGAAATGAGAATGATTGGAGTCTAAGAGGGCCCCACTGGATCCTGGGACATTCTCCATGCGGTACATGGCTGGGTATAGACCATTCTTGTCCTAAACAAAGCATAGAACAGAACATCTGGTGAAAAACTGCAACTCGAAGTTAAATACAACCAACGATTTTTAATTCCTTTCTCTTAAGTAGCTGAGTTTGCAAGCTGCCAGTATAACTCTGCACTTTGGCCAAGCTTCTTCCACAGGCTTTGCCAAGGCTTGGTGGGGAACACGGACTTTTAAGGCGGGGTGCTGGAGAAAAAGCACAGAACAGCCTACGAGCAGGCTCCCACGTGAAGCGGGGCATACAAAATCAGCCATGGTCTCATCTATACCCTAGAGGTACACAAACTCCTGAAGTATCTCAGTTTTCAACACTGACGCTGTTAGAAGGAACTATATCCAAGCAGTCCACAGACAACTGTAGCAACATTACCGTACATGATAGTTTTACCTTAGTGGCTATCAGTGAGTCTTTTCTGTCAACAATGCCCCATGAAGCAACACCAATAACATTGACCTTGTCTTCACTACCAAATGTGATTTCTTGTTCTTTCACAGCTTCACCCACATGTTTCATTACTCCAGCATTTGTGCCACCTTTATTGTCAAAAACCCAGCACAAAAACATCAGTTAAAAAAAGACAATGGAATCTATGAAAGCATCAACAGTGTTGCTGTATGAAAGCAGAAACACATTTTTAGGGGCTTGTCACGTGTTGTCCAGGAAAGAATGCGTGACAAAACCTTCTATATCATCTTTGTAGGTGGCTATAAACTCTCATGGTGAGCTTTCCAAACTATTGATCTTGAAGGTTATATCTGTAGTATCTGTGAAGCACTCTCGGATAAAGTTTACAAGGAGTATTAATGCACACAACAACGAGACTTGCAGTCGCAATAAATCTTTTTCACTTGATGTTATTATTTTTTAGAATAGTTCATGTGATGTTACCCTTGAGAACTGTTTCTTTTAGGGCCTGTTTACATGGAGTGGGGGACCCCGGTCTAGTGGGGTTGGTTTCTTTTGTTTTCACGCTCTGGGGGACACAAAACAAAAGAAACCTACCCCACTAAACCGGGGTCCCCCACTCCATGTAAACAGGGTCTTAGTTTTCCCACTAACCACGTGCATATGCCTGCAGCACTAATGAACAAACAAAAGGCAAATTTCCTTGTGAACATCACATTGTTGGAATTGGGAAACTAACACCTAACACCTTATTTATCTATTTAAACTCAACTTGCTAAACAGACACACTTTCCATGAACCCCTCAGTGTCTGTATTAATGGGCTATAACAGTGTATATTGTTAATCAAAACTAGCCTAACCACAAATAAATAGTTCTATATCAATACAGTTATGTACATGTACTTATACAAGCATGGAATTGCAAAGAGAAACAAACCTGTGATGATCCATGCGCTAGTTGACTTGGCCGCCTTAATCAGACCTCTTCTAAATACTTCCTTTAATCTGGGCTTAAGAACAAAACTCTTGGCACCACCTGTCACAGAAATCACCAAATTTGGAATCTCCAAATCCCATCTATCCAACATTAACTTCAGTATCAGCTGGACATCAGTGTCATGGGACAGACGGACATACTACAGCATAAACATAATGGTTTGAAATAAGTGTCATTAGACAGACAGACAAAATAAAGCAAAAATTACAATGTAGTTTGACTTAAGTGCAAGGAACATAGTTTTCACATAAAGGGATTCAGTATTCAGTGTAATTGATTATCATGCTGCTTAAAGTTTTAGATCAATGACTGATTATATTATTGACAAACCACATGGGATCTTTTGAACACAGAAGGACATGATGTACGGGTATTTCAAAAGTTCGTTCCGATTGTAAATTGTATTTTGTGCAAAGCACTTAATGCTTCTTTAGGCAAATGTAACCTGTTTCAGGTAAGAAATTTATCTAAATAACCGTTCAAAGCAATTTCAAACTAAATTTGAAGAAATTATACATTTTTTTAATTTTTGCCCCGTGCACGAGGTTTTACCCGCCATACTTTTCCTACCCATTTTGTAGGTTTTCTATTTTTAAAATTAGTATTTTTATCGTTTTCTTTTATTTTCTCTACTCCTTCATGGAAATGAAGGCCTACACTGTTTGTGCTAGAGCTCAGGCATCTATTTTTATGGTCTCCTGGCCATGACCATTCAGTAAAAAAAAATTGTCTAATTGTTAAGGAAGTCTGAATGATGACCGAACACGTGGTTAAAAGTAAAGACCTTAGAAGACAAACCAAGGAGTGGATCGCCAATTTTTCACAAACTGTGTGAGAAGTGTTTAATCGAAAAAGCTGTAAGTATATGTGTAATACTTTCACAAAACAGAAAGGTAAAAAATTTCAACTTCACATTATCGATCAAAGTTTCGGGCACAACGGCAAGGGGATAAGTTACCAAAAAAAGGTTGGAAAGCCTTGAAGGACAAAAGGCGGTGCACACTTCACGCAAGCATGGTGTCAGAAGGATTTGCCATCTTTATACCAAAGGAGGACCGGCCGGCAAACTCATGTCATGTGAACCCCCTAGAGACCATCTGGTATATCGTAGACGAGACAACATACAAAGATCCAGCCCCCAAAACACTAGACGAGCTAAGACAGTGACTACACTTCGCCTGGAAGAATGTGACTTTGGGAACGCTTTGGGAGCTCATACACTCTATACCTCACCGCTTAGAAAATGTCAGAAAACATACAGGAAGACATTCTGGTTACTAATATTTAAGTTATTCAATGTTAACTGAATAATGAATAACACACTAAGTTTTGCAAAAGGTTTTCTTAATAATTAGTGAAATTTAGCGCATAAAAAATCGCAAGAAACTTTTGAAACACCCTGTATACACTACTGAAACCCTGTAAGCATTTAGTGTCGCAAGACACAACGACATACTGAAGTGCAGATGAAATACATTGCACATCATCATAGGACTGGGATAAAACAGACAAACCTGAAAAACACTTGAGTCATGATCAGTTATAAAGATGATGAGTGTTGTGAGACAGACAGGGAACTTTCAATAATTTCTGCCCTGAAGTAACTTTGTGTAAAGAAAGTCCACAGGTTACAAGGCCTAAGGAAAAGCCACACCCTGAAACACAAAAAGAAACTCAAACTAACCGGTGATCTTTTCGCCTGTTTGCCCTGTCCCAGGAAGTCTATCTCACCATAAGCATTGGTTGGCAGCTGTCTTGTACACCTTTCAGGTGTCCACTGGTCATTACTGGTGTCTTCCCTTGCGACACGTCTGTCATGATCTGACTTGTTTCTGCCACACTTACAAACATAATCTCTAAAAACAGATTGTTTATAACCATTAGCACTTAATAAAAGCAGAAAATGTAGGCAAAAAATTTGCTTTTTAAGGTCTTTAACTTGTGTCCTCTAGCATGAAGAACTGGCAGAGCACTGCCACTTGAGCACAAACACAACCTCCACTAATCTGGTTGAACTTGTTTCCCAAAATGAGATCAGGTCATGATTATTTTTTGGTGAAGAATAGCTCAAACCTGCTGTTTAATTAGGTGACATCACACTTGATGCAAAAATTCTTTACCTACATCAAGGTTTACCTTGATCAAGAATAACAAGGGTTCCCTGCACAGAAGGGATGTACTGTATGTCGTTTTTGGGGTTGATTTTCTTTTTTTGTAGGATCAAGCTACATGCAATTTTTGGAAGACTGACTTGTTTTGATATGACAAACATTGTTACATTTTTTTTTTTTACTGAATTCTGCTTTGTTTTAGAGAAATAGGTTCTTTTTAACTTTTTTACTCCACAGTAAAACTGAAGGACCCCTTTTATATGCTATTCTTGGGTTAGAAGCAAAAAGCATACCATGGTAAGTGGCACATGCACCAGTCTAGCATTATACAATTTGTGCACATGTAATGGGGGTACCCCCTGGGGGAGAGACCTGGACTAACCCGAGTCACCCTAACCCTCCCTCCCTCCTCCTTATACATTGTACCATTGTTGAGTGGCACATGTACCTGTATACCCGATAATGGGGGTACCACCCCCTGCAGTGATGGAGAACCAGCCTAACTCTTCCCCTATTAACCCCCCTCTGCCCCTCTCCCCAAAATCAACAGTTAAGACCAAACAGTTCATATTTTTTCCAACTTACTCTCCAGAGGCTAGTTTCTTGCCATCTTTGATGATCTTTATACACTCCCGACACCGAAAGTTACCAGCAATCCATGATTTCTTACTTTTCTGGAAAAAAATTTAAACGGTTGTGAGCAATATTTCCTATGGTATATCATAAGGTTTTGTGGCTCTACTCATCTCAGCCATCAGGAATTTCTTTAAGAGGGACTTACTTCCTTAAATTAACCATTTGTCTTTAATACAGTACTGTTAGTAAATAGTGTGAATGAACATTTCAAAAAAAAAAAAAAAAAAAGCAATAATCCGAAGATGAGAACGACTCTAACTACTATACAACTTTTTTTATTCAACGAGAATAACTTCAAGAGGGTAATACACTTATTCATTAGTCATACTGTCCTGACTTAAGCATTGACAGGACGCAGTGTAATAGGACAGTGCACACTACATGTACAAGAAGGCTGTGCTCTAAGAAAAATTGAAGGGGGCCCCGTTACTTAAACCTGTGAAATCCAGGGTGCCCAGCTACTATTTCTATGAAAATACTGGACAACTTAACTTTATCGTATTGTATAGTTTGACAAACTTTTCAATGTTAATGAAATATTCAACATTGTCAGATTTAATTTATCATTCAGATTGATAATAACCAGTCATATGTGAAAAACATTCAATAGACATTAATTAAAATAAATTCAAGATTAACCGATCTTAGCATATTTCACATCCTGATTTAAAACCAACTCTAAACATGCAATACCAAAAAAAGAGAAAACATTCCAACTTTATAATATAGGGCTCCATTCCATTTCTAGAGGAAGCATAACCACAGTACAGTGTACATCAATGGCAACAATATTCTGCCATGCTTGTTTTTATCTTCAGTTTCTATATGCATAAAATTATAATGTGAACCAAAGTTTGAATTTTAATTTTACCTCAAGGAAAAAGATTTCAAGATAGAGAAACTCACCATCTGTCCAAATCTTTTAAGAGATACTGAGCTACCATGGTTATCAAGCTGATAAAGTGGTGAAAATGATTCTATCATGTTTCAACCACAAACCACAGCTACTTTCTCAGATAATTCACAACAAAACGAAAAGTTAGTTACAAGCTGTGACGCTTTTCCACCTTCCAGAAATTTAAGTTACCAAAATTCAGTGTGCAATCCTTGTACGTGTGCAATACCAGTGTGAGAAACAATTCTCACAATACCATTTAGCACTCATTGTTGACGCATTATACTTGTAACTTCTGAACCAAGCAAAAACCAAAACTATTTAACAACTGGCAGTGAAAAGAGTGACAGACACAAATTAGCATATCAAAGGATCAAGTTTCCCCAAATTTCTAATTTATTCAGAAATAAATTTTGCATTTTCAGAATAGTTAACAGCCAGAGTTACAAGCAATTTCTACATATATATTTTGGAGACTCCCAGCTATATAAACTGTTGGCACTTACATACTAATACATGTACAAGTACAAAACGAAAATGATATTTAGAATAAAAACATCTGTTATCATGGTGGCTTTTCAAAGCCTACACAACTATACTCAACTGACCAGAGACCAAACAAGAATATCAAACCAATGTGAGGAGAAGTGTTCTGTTTCAAAAAAGAGTAATTTACAAATACAGTACAAGGAAGTCACTGAATACTTCTTAAACCAGAAAAAGATTTAATAAGCAAGTTTACAGTTACATCTGCCAAAAATGTATGGTAATTAATCGGCAATGAATACAAAACATTCTTATTTTCTTTCCCTTGCAAATAAAATACATTTACATACACGTACATGTGTACTTAAATAGCATCTTGAAAACAAACTTACTACTTGGTTTAGGATATGTAAATCAAAATATCATTGTTTATCCAACTTACCTATCCACTAAAAAACTGAATAATTCTTGCCAAAATCGTTTTTTGTGTATTGTCTTCTAACACGAGCCTTTTTTTACTCAAGCTACAGTTGGTAAGCTGACACCATTCATTTTAAGTATTTTATGTTTTAAAAACCTAGCAGAAATATTATTTATGTCATGATTTTGCTCATCTAAGTTTGACACTGCTTTTAAAATTATCAATAAAAATCTTAAAAAATCTTAAGTTAGCTATACAGTTTTTACCATTCTTAGACAAGTTTATGATTGGACAAACAAACAAAAAAAATACATTAGTACAGAAATATTGGATTAAAGTCTGATGAGAGTCGACTATAACGTTCTCACGAATAGAGTGAAAAAAAAAAGAAAGGCAGGCAACAAAGGTTGCCGCACAAAAGGTTGCATCTTGCCTGGCTGCACTTTGGAACAATTTTTGTTTAATGAAAAACGTCCCATCTGTTGTACACTGTAAATCATTTCAAAGCATGCTTAAAACCATTTTTTATTTAAATTTGAGGTTTAGTTAGTATTATTTTTTATTATCATTATTTTTTTTTATTATTATTATTTTAGTATCTTATCATAATTATTGTAAGTGAGATTTTTATCTACTGTAAGAGAACAAAATCATAATAAAGTAATTATATTATTTCCATATGATTATCACTTTATTTTTTAACAAATGCTCTGGTTCAGTGTTTAAATCAAAATAAAAAAATATTGGGAAACTTATTATGAATGTGTTGCTGGTAAAATTTTTTTTTAGGCAAATTTAATTTTTTCACTTAAGTTACAAGGTTTTAACCTAGGCAACTTTTCACCAGAATACATGTATTTTTTAAATTTCCTATTGGGTAATTAACTCTCTTTTTATTCATAACAAATGTTGAGCAGAAATATTTATGCACTACATCACGCAACTCAAGTAAACAGTTTAAACGTCTTCTTCTGATAGGTGATGGTAAAAAAAGTCAAATTTCGAGGGATTTTTAGGGACACATTTGCAGGAAAATGGGCTAATTTCCCGGGAATTTTCGGGGCAAATTTCACCAAAAAGCAATAGGTAAAAAACAGAAAATTTCGCTTGAAATCGATTGGTTTTGCGCTGATCAGACCAGCGTTTTTAACGTTTTCCTAACAGAGGTCATCATATTTTTTGCTCTTTCAACAATAATACGCTCCAGAAATGAACCAAAGGCAAAGCCTTTAACATCATGGCTAGTGTCCAGTTTTTTGTAATATATTCTACGACTGCTAGGTTCATTTCAAATGTCGTGCTCCTGCTGTGTTGAACTCAATTGATCAAATTAAATTCAACTTTAGCACGGCAGTAGTGCGATGTTTGAAACCAAGTCATGCAACTACTTTTAGCACGGCAAGCCTTGGCATGCTACACAGTAGTAGATCGACTTGAAATCAAACATAGTGCTACCACCGTGCTGAACTCAAAAATTATTCATAAATTATTGCGTTCGAGGTACGAGAACGCAACCCCTAATTTGTGTTGGGCGTTCTGTGCATTATTGGGTACCCTGTACAATTAATAAGGGAGGTTTTTGCGAGATTGCATTTGTCGTCGTCGTCGACACACATTTCCCTCGCTTTAAGGCACTTGCTTACGTTTTGCCTCACTTTGACCAACTACCGGTAACTCACGTGTTGATTCGTGCATCCTCGAGCGTTTGCTGAGGTCTTTTATTCTGTCTTTGTAAAGCGTTCATCTTTTATAAGTTTGCTGAATCTTCATTAAGCGTACATATTTCAAGAGTTAGCTGAAGGTTTACTATTGATCTGTGTTTGCTGAAACAAACGTTCATCTTTCAAAAATTTGAGCAGACGTTGTGCCACAAAGTAAATCTACCCAGTTGTGTAGCCCGGCGGCCATTGTGCCACAAAGTAAATCTACAGAGTTGTCAAGCTCTGTGGCCGTTGTGCCACAAAGTAAATCTCCCGAGATGTGAAGCTCGGCGGCGCCGTTTCATCATGACTTGTGATATTTTCGCCCCGGACAAACGAACATTTTAAGTTTATGTTATTTATTCTAAACAGCCCATAGTAGCTCATCTCAAGTCACTGAAATCAACACACTCTACCAAACTACTGCACTTATTGAGGCGGACCATACATTATCACTAGCCTTCAAGGCTTTTTCATAATGATACACAGGTTTCGCTGTAAGCAATCCTTACATTTAAAATATGCCATGATCAAATTAAAGCCCGGTTTCCATATGATCGCTACCATCGCTGCGATCGCTGCGACCGCGAAGAAAAAAAAAAAACTTCAGCGATCGCATTGATCATAGCGATCATATGAAACCACTCTCCAGCGATCGCAGCGACAATGATCGCTGAGAAATAAAAAGTTCTATCTCAGCGATTGTTGTCGCTGCGATCGCTGGAGAATGGTTTCCATATGATCGCTGAACTTTTTTTTCTCAGCGAACACAGCGATCACAGTGATCATAGTGATCATATGGAAACCGGGCTTAATCTATCACAATAGCCCCAATAGCTGACATAAGTTTCAAATATGTTGTACAAACATGTATTCGATAAGATTTCTGCCAAATTTTGCGGCATTTTTGAGTGTGTATTTGTGAATTTCGTGGGATTTTGCGGATTTACCTGAATTTTGCAGCTCTGTAACCGTGCAAAATATCAGAAGCCGTGAATATTACAGCTATATCCAAATGAAAGACATTTCACGGTTAACCAGCTGCACAAGAGGGAAAAATTGCTCATAGACAAGTAGAATGTCACTAAAATGCATGTACCTTAGTGCCAACTGTTTTTTGATGGCATGGGAAAATGGTATTCAAGTTCCATTTCGATTTTTTAAAAACAGATTTAAATTTTACTTATTGATTTTCGTTTTTGCCCAACTTTGAAAAACGGATTTGAACTTTGTTTTTTGTTCATCAAGAATTGAAAGCTAAAAATTGTGCACTGCATGGTGGTTGCAGTCTTCAAATATTCCAAAACAGTGTTAAATCAGCGCTAAACGTTGCTGCCTAAATGCTAAAGTATTTGCCCTGCTTGACATGTACAGAAATACTCCTTGAGGAGCTCTGCACATTATGTCAAAATGGTTTAGGCTGAATGTACTGCAGCAAAAGCAGCATGAGTGAAATGATTGACATCAGCGAAAGTCAAAGCACTGCAAATATGCTAAAGCCCTGTTAGAGCCCAAGACCGCACCTCACAAATGATTAGTGATGGAGATTGAGACCACCAGGCAGTATTGTCTCGTTTTTAACTATGCTTTACAGGGTCTGTGTAATTAAATTTAGCCACATCTAAATATTAATCTCATATTTCCAGTTAGTGCAGTTCAAATGTTAGTTTCTTCACTTAACTCACATTTTCAGTACATATGATTTTTAGAAATGACAGATATTTAAAGAGTACTTTTTAAGCTCTTTATGATTACATTTTTCTTCTTCAGTGATGTTTCAGTCTTTTTTAATTTAATGAAAAAATCTCCCCTGCAGTCACTCCCTGTATACCCTTCCACATAACTCAGCATTTTATACTTATTTCTAGTTTTTGTACTAATTATTATTTTAACAATGACGACAGAAGAAAAAGTCAAAACATGTCATGCTAAAACATCCAAAAAGTTTGCCTCTTGAGAAACTGCTGTACAAGTCTTACAGTAATCAAAGTAAATTTTTAAGAATGGTTTAAAATTATTGTTTATAATAACATTTACACTTACTTTTCTTTTGGTTAAAGATGAAAACCTCCTACTGCCATTTACGGGGAAAAACTGCAAAAGTTTAAGCTGTTTAAACATCATGATCATCAGCTCGTAACACAAAGAAAAAATAGCTTGAAGTGTTAAGAAGGATATAGATTAATGTTTGATTTCAATATAGAGTGTATATATCATATAAAATATTATTATACTTCTGTAATCAGTGGATTTATGGTCACTGATTGATCAATTATTATAATATATTAAACTTGATATTGAATTTTATCACAGACAAGGGTAACAAGTTTATTGGTACACAGGGTTCATACAAAGAATTGCAACCATTTTTTAAGGACCTCATTTGATTTTCAAGGGCCATCTACCAGGAATGTAATTTCACAGATTGTACAAAAATGCACATTCCCAATCCATTCTAATCGGACTTAAAGGCTTGAACTGTTTGCTCCACCAACTTCTCTACATTTCTCATTTCTCTCGTCTTAAAATGATAGTTCACAATTGCATAAAACAAAAACGCTTTATGCAAATCACCATTAACTGCTCTGAGCTATGATTTACATTGTGTTCTGTCTTTGACAACCCGAAAAGCATTAAAAAACACTTTCTAGGCCACCATGTTCAAAGTTGAAGAAAATTCAAGGAATTTTCAAGGACTTGCAGAGAAATTTAAGGACTTTTCAAGGACTTCTCCTAAAATTCAAGGACTTATCAAGACTGTGTGAATCCTGGTACATTGATCGGAAGACCATACCTCTATCTGTTCAAATCCATGAAGTGACCCAGAGAGTGAACCTTTAGATGATCGACGAGGCCTGCTAGAGCCTTGACGAAAAGCTGTATCTGTGGGAAGTCCAGCCAGACTAACAGAACTGATTGCTTGAACTTTGTTAGGTTTCAAACCCAACATTTTCCTCGTTATGGTTAAGAGTAGGCTGCAAAAGAGTTCTTGGACCTGAAACAAAACAGAGAATACAGTAATTCATTGTTTGAATGCCTGTACAGACACATGCATATGGCTGGCAAGTCCCCCTGCCCTTTTTGAATTTTCTGGATCGGCAAAATTACACTTTTACAGTTAATGCTGTAGTAATAATCAGTAACAGCTGGCTTTTTCCAAACCCAGATGGAAGCAATCCAAGAATATCTTTCCTTTTAAGCAATAAATTTAAATATTTCTTTTCTTTTTCCTTTATATCTGAAACATTCGGAACTAAATGAAAAGATTCTCGCAAAGCATCGTCAAAGGAACATGACTGCATGATGGTAGGTAGGTAGGTAGATTCTTTATTTAAAACTCGGTAAAATCTTCAGTAATAATAGAGTAAAAATCTAATCACAATTAATTAGACTAAAAACTATTGACAGACTGTTTTACAAGACTGCCGAGTGAGAGTCCGACGACTCAAATACATGTTTGATTTGCTCTTTAAATTTCCTGACTGATTTAATTTCTCTCACATTTTTGGGTAAAGAGTTCCACAACAAAGCACTGCTGTAACTGAAACTTCGTTTCAAGTAGTTAGTACGCGGCCTGGGCAACATCAATTTATGAAAGGAATTGCGCAAATCATAGTCTGTGCTTCGTTCGGGAATAGGTTCTGCAAGTACATGCCTGGGCATCAGACTAATAAGCCAGAATCTCTACAGAACAACGCGTCATCAATTAACCAATATTGGAAAGCGACGTTCATGTGGTGAACATTGGAAGAGCCAGACCATTGGACTGGAAACGGGTGCTTTATTTTTCCTCTCCGCTTGCCTCGTGACTCATGCTCATCTTGCGTTTTGCACAAAATGCCATGTTCACCTTGCTTGGCTCATAAAGCGCCTGTTCTGCAGGCTACTTTTGCAATGAGCTGGCTATCTATCGATATCTATCTTGAAAACCAACTCTGCAGCTCCAAAATATTTTTGGAGTTTGACTTTGCGAGAAAGCGTGAGAAATTAGTTGCCAACATGTGAGAGCATGAGATAGGTCGTGAAATTGTGAGACTCACAACAAAGTCGTGAGACTTGGCACGTCGATCTGTTTTAAATATATAACATTTATGAATAGATCTGATAACTTGTAAATTCACATATTTCCCCGATGAGGACCAGCAATACATAGATGAAACATTGTGATCCACAACAAAGTTACTATTAGGAGACAAAGTTACAGTAAATGATCCTTTCATACAAAATACAATGTAATTAACATGAAGACACAGAATCATATCTTTAGTTTTTTTTCATCTTAGTTTCAAGAACAAATTGCAAAGTTTAGAAAGGGCAAATGCAGTAAATAATTTTATATCTGATTTGACGAGGATGTGTACAATGTTCATTATTAAAAGGCTTCAGAAAAAAGGTGGTCTCAATCTTTTGGACATTACTAAATCTTTGAACACGTGAATTTTGTGCAGATTCAAAGATCAGATTTCTCATGCATGTGGCTCACAGATTGATCGAGCTCTCCTTTTTGACCTCGCATTTGTTGATAAATTATCCGAAGAGGCAAATAATCATAACGGAAATGTAGTGCAGTTCTCTACTGAAAGCAGATTTTGATTTATTGATTAAATAGAAAATAATACAAACTTAATTTAAGGTTACAGTATGCGACAGCTGAGTATACCAAAACAATAAGCGTAATTGCTAGAGTCAAGAGATAAACTTTAGTTCATTTTCAGCTCATTAAGGGTTAAACGAAATGCTTAAAATTTTAATAGTGAAATCCATACTTGACATGAGGTTCACATAAGAAAATACCGAGCATTTTATCATGACGAAGCCTGAGAAAACAACCAACATTGCGTTGGTGGCGTCGTGAAATGTCGGCTGTTTTCCCAGTCGCGCCGGATAGGAACAACTTTCATTTTACGTTACAGTATTCGAATACTAAATTCAAAACAGAGAATAAAGATTTCTAGATCATTTCTTCTTAATTTTCCATCACATTATAGGCCATCATCTTCCACCTCTTTAACAAGTGAGGGATACGACAGTTTAATTGCGGTTTAAAATCTCAAACAACGATTCGATCGAATCCAGCTGATTAGCAGTGCGTCAGTTATTGTTCCACTTGCACTCGAACGTAGGCTTCGATTAAACAATTAACTACAGTCATTCGGCTTGCTTACACCAAAAAATATCCTTACCTTAAATTCCTCATATTAACAAGGGAATACGATTGAAGTCCACCGTATTCTTCTTTCTTCCAAACTGTTTGTCTGTCACCCCAGCTCGTCCGCCATTTTGAAAGCTTTTGCGTGACGTCAATGAACTGTTGCTCTTGCATGGTTGCCAGGCAATGGTTTCGCTGGGGGTGGGAGGAGGGTAGTCTGTGTACAGAATCACCCTCCCCTCAAAAAAAAAAAAACTGGAGGAGAGAGGAGAGAAGGGCGTCTGTACGCAGGCCAGAGGGGTGGGGGCTGGAGATTAAAGTTATTCATTTTTACAATATGAACTACGTAGCTCATATTTGCATTTTTCTTAAAAAGTGTTCTTTTCACGTTGAACAGCTTTAGACCTTTTTTATTTACTTATTTTTTCACTTAACCAGCGTAATGTTTTTTAAATTTCTTATGAAGGAAATTCGGTTGGTTATCCGAAGATGGTTACATTGCCAGCTGATAATCAGTCAGTAAGTATGTGTCTTGTTCCTTCCAGTAATCGAGTCAATCTTCAGTCATGATGGGACTGTCATGCCAAAAACGTGTCTAGAAACGAGCCATTCAAGTTGGAGAGCGAAGCCGATGTAGACCGAAAAGAGTTGAACAAGTTTGGGAACATAGGGCGCCGAGGCATTTATTAAATTTTTATCGTTTCCCATGAGGCGTTTAATTAAATAAATACAGTACCCTTGGTGCCAAAGACTTTTCTCCGGAAGCGTTACACTTCACGGCTCTACAGCCCACAAATAGGCTCTAATCGAGGTGGGCCTCAATGGGGATATACATGATGCAGTATACATTACTGTATATATTTACTAACAAAAATACTATATTTACAGAAGGATTTTATTTGCAGTGAACTAAATGTCTGTCAATTTATATATTGAGTCTGTATATAAATAATTACAAAAAAAAAATAAAATAAAAGTTTCGTACAAATACTGCGATATGGTTATTTACCTCCGACCACCCAGGCTAAACTAAATTTTCTCTGAAAATGGCGCGAGCGTACACTGGTTCCAGAGCTTTTTTTTGAAATTTTTCTTCGCGACAAAGAGAAAGCTAGCTGCGAATCGGCGACAACGAATTTCAAGAAAAACCTCCGGGACCAGGGTAGCGCGAGCGAGAAAGTGCGAGAAAACAACGTTAGGTCATTTCCCTTGTCTGTCAGTACTGCGCGAAAAATCACCGTACCACTTACTATAACAATGGTTTTAGAAAACTTCAAGGATGAAACGTGCCTGCTTCATGATCTGGAGAGGTAGGCCGCAGTGGGCCGGGAATTTTCACGATGCAGTGTACTTAATATTTACTAACAAAAATACTATAATATTTACAGGACGATTTTCGGTTACAACCAACTGTCAATTTATATATCTGCGTACAAATAATTGCAAAAGAAATAAAAAACAAAATTAAGTGATCTAAAATGCATCATTGAGTGTTGTTACGTTGTTAAGTGGCAATCGACCCCGGCAATCGACGCATCTTCAAGTTTTTACTTTCATCTCATCATTTTTATTGAAAGGGAAGAACAAACCTGAATGTAAAAAGCTTTGGTTGAGGGAAGCTAATTTTTGTCGACTTGAAGTGAAATAAATGCAGAAGTTTAAGAAATTTTCAGCAAAATTTTAAATTGTGTAATTACCTGTATTGAATGTCAATGAGAAATACATGAACAATGAACTGCGTTTCGGTGTCGATCAATACTTATAACAATGAAATATCTTTCTCGTGTCGCGCTAGGCAGGATAAAATATAAACGAAGATATATGACTCTGAGATTATATTTTTAGTGATTTCGAGCTTAATTTAAGTATGGTTATTTGGCTTTGTTTTTTAAGAGTCTTTCAAGAAAATTGCCTGAAGAGATAGGAAAAATTCATCGGTATCTTGCTTTGGGAAGCGGGAAAAGAGCTGCAAAACTTTTCTCAACCTTTTAATGATTTTTAGTATTGTATAGCGAGACATATTTGATTCTACCGATCCTTTAGTACTCCATCGCACTCATGAAACAAGCTCTCTCTGCTTCCGTTTAGACTTGCGGTTTTCTTATTTCAATAAATGTTTTGACTACAGAGCACCCCCTAAGGTGTCATTGACTTCCGCGCACCTAACACGTTCGCGAATTTTTTATAACATGTTTTGCAACACACTTTACACACAAAGACAGCTTATTCTTAGCCCCACATCATCTTTACTTAAATTATTATTTGGAACTTTTAATAACCACATCAGTAAATTAAGCCTAAGAATGAAGTTTTTAAGCTTGGCAATTTTCGTGGGACTTTTCTTGGCGGCCTGTGTAAGCTGTTCAGTGGCTGCTAAATCTTCGAACAACAATGGTAAGTAGCAGAGTGTAAATTGTTTTTAATTCATTTTTGAAGTCTATGATTTGCTGTACTCAATGCGTTCTCCCAAAACATTTTCGAATCTTTGAAAGATTCGAAACCGTTTTTACAACGATTGACATTTTGTGAATTTTGCTTTAAGCCCGCAGAAAAACCATTAGCAGTGGTGACTTCATTATTTTGAAATCAGCTCATAGCAATTATTCGAAAATTTCACTAAGCTGCAATAAATCTGGCTGCCAATGGACGCATTGCCCGTCTAATGATGCTAAGGTTTCGTCGTCCTGCTCATCTGAGAATGCGGAGTTCAAAATAACAGCCAGAGGAGAAACGCTGGGAAAGCCCATCAAAAGCGGGGAAAAAGTGTCGCTGACCGTTAGAAAGTACGGTCCTCAGTACAAGCTGACTTGTGGCAAATCTTCAACCGCACAGTGCCATTTGGCTTCGTAAGTATTCAGCTTTAAATTTAAACACCGCATCAGCTCTTCTTGGAAATTTAACGCAAGCACCATCGGACGAGAAGATGAAACTGATGTCTATAGTTGAATTTCGGCCTGTACAATTTTGCTCTTAGTCAGTTATTGGCATTTCTCTCTTGGTCAGTATTAAGAACTCATAGGCAAAAGTAGTTTTATTTGGCTCAACCCAAACTTGACTGCTAGATATTTAGTCAATTATTGCTTTTTGACCTCCTTTTGCCACTTTTTTCTCTAGCATTAAAGGCCACATGACAGGAAACAACTGGCTGATATACGAAAAAGCCACTTTTCAAATATTCTCCAAAGAGGCAGAGGATTCTACTCCCATCCACAATGGTGATGTGGTGGGACTCAAGTACTTACACTGCTCCAGCAAAGCATGGCTGACCAAAAGTGGAAAATTCCTTTATCCTCGTAGCTGTAGCAGAAACGACAAAACCACTTGCGCAAAAGAGGACAGTTTCACCGGCTTCAAAATCTTCAAGTACTGAAGTTTCAAGATCTCAAATTTGAAGCTGGAGTTCTCAACCATAAATTTAAGCATAAACAGTTTAGATCATTTACTGACCATTTTGGAAAGATGATTAATTAAATAATTTCTAAGGGATTTATGTGTTAATTAACTTAAACTTTTTGCTTTTCAATAAAAGAGTTGAGGATTCGATCGCGATTACACGTCTCATGGTACTTATGACTCGACGGCTAAGAATAAAACAAATGATCTGTGAGCCTTTGCTCCTTAACGCTGCTTCACCTTAATTAGAAATCACCCTGACTGTTTTTCAGTTCGTTTTGTTTATCACATTTTCTGTGGTGTTTTCTTTTAATCTGGGTTATTTTAGCTTCAACTTAGGGAAAAAAATGATCTAATTGCAATCCAATGTAGCGAACACGTCAGTCCCTTAACAACGACAACACATACTGATAAGCGACCTTCTATTGAGGGTTTTTCTTTCTTTTATAGTGGAACCCACATATCCTCGGTGAAGGATCTTCAATTAAGTACTCACGGACTCGGGAGATATGAATAAATAGCGAATATTTGTAATCAACTGAGTACAATGGAGAATATTTTCACCAGAGATTGACGAACACCAATATTTTTGCGACGGATTCAAAATGAATTTTCGGCCGAGGTTTTCAAACGGTGGTAGAATCGAGTGGGTGATTAGGTTGAGAAAATGGGACACTAAATTTTATCATTTCTTCCTGCCAAGGTTTTTCAACGTGTCAGCATGAGTGCAATCTTGTCAATCGAATACTTTTTTCTTCAAAGAGTAATTCACCAATGCATTGAATCAATACAGACCCCGAAACATTATGTGCAACTGTATATGAAGCAATATTTCCTGCCGTTCAAATTGTTATTTCAGGGGCACCCAACGACGGTTTTCTCCTAAATGCATTGAAAACGCTTTTTAGTCCACCCAGAGTACGTTTAGATCTCTAGAAATGCATTCTAAGCGGCGCTATAAATTTTTTATCTGTTCGGTCATCCTAGGACCAGTTGAGTCTTTTCCAAATCGTATGGGCAGTCAGTATTATTTTCCCGAAAATTTTAGATGCAATTTAAAGTTTTACGAAGTTAGGATTTTTTTCTTATTCCTCTCTCCATCGCATTTTTAAATCCGAAAAAAGTTTAAGTTTCCTTTTTCGACAAAAAATAGCCAACCTGGGAAGTGAAATGCGAAAAATTAAACCTCAGAAAATCGTATTTATTTTAGATAAGCTTGGAAAATTGTACAGGAATGGAACGGTCCTTGAGAAATTTTTTAGCCTTCCTCAAACTATAGAAATTTCTAGGCATTTTTAGTTTCTCCGAACAGATATTTTACAGAAAACAGTTGTTGGGTGCTCCTGTTATTTCCGCGGTGGCTGGTGAAATGAAGGGATACAACATATAATGGTGCGAAAACGGACGAACGGGTTCTGATTAGTAAGCGTTTTTTTGAACCGCACAGACTTTCAGAAATCATAGTAACAATAAATTGAAATTATTACTACGTGTAAATACGAAAATAGTCATAATTTTATTTTGTTCAGTGCCTGGTTTAGTATGACCAAACAAGCAAGTTCTACTTGATGGACTTAAAGTTATCGATGATGTCATCACGTCTTGCGGAACGTGTTAGTTAACTCCCTAAACATGTTTCGCATTTTAAGTAAAAAACCTCTAATAAACGTCACATTATTCATAACATAATTAGTCTTAGTTAAGGGAATTTGAAGTCTGTGTCAGTCTGTTCAGGCGTTCACAGAGTCGTCAT